TTTTTTTTTTTTTTTTTTTTGTGGTGCTGGAGATTGAGCCCAGGGCCTTGTGCATTCTAGGCAAGTGTTCTACTGTTGGGCTACACCTCCAGCCCTAAAATATATTTATTTAGAAAAAAAAATGCTGGCAATCTCAAATCAATTTTATGTACTATTAGATGTGCTCATGCCTTTTCTATGTACTCAAAGGACACTGAAAATCTACAGTCTAGAGTGTTGGAATGGTTTTTTGTTTGTTGTACTGGGGATTGAACCAAGGGGTGCTTAACCACTGACCCACATCCCCAGCCCTTTTTTATATTTTATTTAGAGACAGGGTCTCATTGAGTTGCTTAGGGCCTGGCTAAGTTGCTGAGGTTGGCTTTGAACTCGGGATCCTCCTGCCTCAGCCCCCCCAGCCCTGGGATTACAGGTGTGCACCACCATGCCTAGGCAGTGTTGGAGTGTTGATCCTATATGTGGACACCGCCTTTCCAGCCCAGAGTGGTATTCCAGGATGGCATGTTCAGGGTCCTGAGCTACCCCTCTCAGGCAGAGAGCCTTATTTCCCCTCTGTGAGGCCATTCTAAGAGGATGTTCATAAGCCCCTCTCCACCCCAACAGCCATTCCTTCCACATGGCAGGAATCAGGCTGCTTTGCAAAGACCCAGTATTGAAACATGGCCCACTGAGGACATGTGGGTAGGACATCTAGTGTTTGTACACGCCCATTAGAAAGCTGGTCTCAGATGTGCTGGAATCTATAATGCCATTGGTTAAACAAGATAACTACACAAATATTCAAAAACAACCAGAAGCAAGATATTAAAAATACCAACTGAGGCAGTGTTTAAATACATGGAAAACATGATTTTTTTTTAAGTTGGGAAATGAAAAGATCATCTCTGGCAAGGATGGTAGGGAAGAAGAGCATATGGGAAAGAGAATATTCCAGAGTCCCACTGTTGGCCTGACCCCCTCAGTCACTATGGTACAGCCCCATGCTTAGGTTTCCTCCTCTGTCATGGGAATAATATTGTGCCTACTTCATGCAGTTGTTAGGGAAATTAAAGGGACAGACTATAGTAAGCATTCATGAAATGTTAACTTCTGTCCCCATCCTAGACAGGGTGATGCTTGGAAAGGAAAATGAAGAGCATGTTTTAAAAATGGCAAGTCATCTCATCTGGCTAGAAGGGGAGACAGGGGTTAATCCCAGGATGCACCAGAAGAGAAGTTTGGAAATATAAGGGAAAGATTTCAAATACAGGGAAGTCACATAAGCCGATTTGCAGAGGACATCCTTGTGTTTACTTTAGGAATGTTGAGTTGGAGATGACAACGGGCTTTCAGGTCAGATTCTGCTGTGGGAAATCAAATATTTTCTTCAGGGGCAAGGAGTAAGGCAAGAGGGGTTTTCGAGAGTCTTCGAGTTGATGCTTCTGGCAGGTTGGGGTTACTCGGACGTGTCTGTCAGTGAATCAATGAATGTGGTGAGATCGTTGTGCAAGGGAAGAATTGGGGAAAAGAGGAGGGGGCCATCATGGTACTTCACTGAGACCACCACCCCCTGAAAGGAAGGCTGATATGGAAACCCTGCAGACCTTCCTCTGTGATCTCCCTCCTCAGGCTTTCTGTTTTCCTCTGTCCCCCGTGCCACTCTCCCATGCATCACCATGCCAGGCTCCCCAGCCTCACCATGTGGCTTCTGTGTCTCTCCACTAAGCAGGCCTCTGGGTCCAGGTCACTGCCTAGACCACACGTGTGTCTACAACATCATGCCAACAGCAGTAGCCCGTAGAAAAAGCTGCAGGCATCCGTCAGCTGATAGTCTGGTGACCAAAAGGGCCAATGTCTGCTCAGTTCCCAGAGTATGATGTTGCATTAAAGGGAGGTACAGCCCTGCTGGGTTCTTCAAGGTCCCATCTCACCTGCTTGGAAGGGGAACCCGGACCAAATAGCATGCTTAGAGTCCCAGTTATGTCCCAGGAGGAAAACAGTGGTGGGGAAAGCAGATGGCAAAGTGTGGGAATATTGGCTGTCTTCAAGTATTTATAGGCCCGTCAGGGGAAAGAAAAGGGACCTGTGCAGCCAGAGAGTGGAAGACCCAGGAGTGATTCCAGGAAACCTGGCGGTAAGCAGCTGAGCACAAGGGAGACTGTGCCAAGGACTAGAAACACACATCAGAAGAGTCCTTTGCACCCAACGCTAAGAGGAGGCCAGACAGATGCCCTCTTTTCTGCTTTCAGAGGTTGTCAGGTGGATGGGCCCAAGTCAGACCAGGGTCTGCTGCTCTGGATATCCAAAGAGTGTTGCAGACAAAAACCTTGAATGATATTATACATGATAACCCCTTCCCAGGGAAGACTTGTTGAGAGGGGAAGATGGGGTTGCACCAAGTGGGGTTGGAGTTCAGAGAACAGGGAGATTGCTCTAAGAAAGGACTTAAAGGTAACCAAGAGAAAATGTCCAGGAGGGAGGAGGATCATAGCACTGGGGCTAGGTGCATTCTGGAGTATTCTAAGAGTAAAACAACTGGAAGGAAAAAGATAATTGACTACTGATGGGGAGTGGGAAGGCACCTTTGTGGGCTATTTCAGGAGTTTCTATGTATGCTGTGCTGTAAAATTCACTCTTCCAGGTCCTCAAAAGAGCATGAAATGCTTTTTAAAAAATATTTCAATATTAGTTTTTTAATATATTTACTTTTTAATTATAGGTGGACACAATATCTTTATTTCATTTTATGTGGTGCTGAGGATCAAACCCAGTGTCTTTTGTGTGCTAGGCAAGCACTCTACCACTGAGCCACAACCCCAATCCTTCCAGTATTAGTTTTTTGACACAGACTGAATATATGGAGATTTACAGACTAAAGCAGGGCACTTTCGTTTGCACCGTTCATGGGTTTTCCCAGAAAACACCAATGTGGCCACTGATACCATTAGGTTCTCCTGGCTTCCTCTGGAAAAGAGTCGTAAGAATCATGACAAGAGAGACCCCAAATGGCTACTCAGACCTCCTCAGCCTCTTGCCAATACTCCGCTTCCAAGAGCCTCCAGCACCATGGATTCCTTTAGTCCCAGGATCTGGAGGAAGGTCCTGTGGGCGATGTCCTCCTGTCCTTCCTACAGGGAAGCAGGAGTTTCACTTACCTGGCGGCCTGCTCTCTCTGGCCTCGCCCCACGTGACGTCAGAGCTAGCTAGAGCTGTGTGATTTTCCCAGCACATTCCATTTCCTTCTGACTTTGCCTCTTTGCTTTTTCTGTTTAACCTTGAGCCCACTGGGCACTCCTCTGCCAATTCTGCCCCACGTGTGGCAGGTGACAGACCATGGGGTTGCTGGAGGAACAGCCTCCCTGGCTCCCTGCCACCTTTCTTTCTTGTGTGCACATGGACCTGGAAGTCCTAGCCCGTGACCCATGGGATCTACTGAATGTTCAGGGAGGAAGAGAAGCAGGGAGGGAGGGAGGGCTGGCAGTCATTGGGCGTGGCACCGTGAGCCCCACCAGGTGCCCTCTGTGCCACCCTGTGACTCACTCTGCCTGACACCTGCCTGGGACTTGGAGGAAGACTGGCAGGATCCCCTTTCCCAGAACATTCCTACTGACCACTCTCACTTCCCCACAGTCTCGGCCAGCTTGCTTTCTCTCTTCTGTTTCTTTTACTTTCGCAGAAATCTTTTCAAAGGAGAAGGAGAGTACAAAGAATAATGACTCCCACATCAGCGTCTGTTTTCAAAAGTACTCAGTGTCCTTGACTTCCACCCACCCAGCCTCACCCATGGGACTTCCATTCCTGGCTGCCTCATTGCAGGGCAGCCCAGGGCTCTGTCCTCTCCCTGAGTCCACTGTAAGTAATCCTCTCATGCCTTCTCTTTCCAGGGTTCCTTGGAGAATGTGACTCTGGCCTCTGTGGAAACTCAGAAGACAGACCCTGCTATCGAACCAAGATTCAAAGAGGTGGATTGGGACAAGGTAGCTGGCACAGGATGGCAAGGGGTGATGATCCGGGAATACTGGGGCCACGAGGGAATATGTGAAGCCAGAGGCTGTGGTATTCGTGATGTGTTCCCAGGGAAGATGAGGAAGGGACACAGCTCACAAGCGTGACTAGGGGTAGCAAACCCAGGTGCAGGTTGTGGGGGTGCCTCTCTGATGGAAAACTGGGATGAACAGCACATAAGGTCTCTGTATGGAACCAGCCCCCAAACACCACTGGGGACAGTGACAAGGTCAGCAGACCCAGGCATGCCCAATTTTACCCATGCACACAGCAGAGCTGCCCCAGGCACCTGCAACCCCTCAGAAGAGTCACTGGTGGATACAGGTCTCGAAGCCTGTGGAAGCTGAGTAGGAAATGGGACTGGAGCCAACCTCAATGTCTAGGAGAAGCCAAGGGTGTCCAGGAGTCTTACGATAAACTCCTCTTGGAGTGTAGAGGCCAAGCAGACCCCATGTGTTGTGAGGTAAGCCCTGGAAGAGCTGGGAGGTCCCAAGCGGACATGGAGGCTCTCAATAGCGAGCTGGGAAAAGTCATGTTGCCTGTTGGTTCAGGAGGAAACTGGGCTTGGATGTCATTTCTCTCCATCTTGGGTCATAGGACTATCCCAAAGTCATGTTACCATTTCCTCTTGGAATAAACACTAGTATGCATGTTTATTTGGACAGGCAGTTTTAGATGCATGTCTAAAACTGCTGGACCTGTGTGTCCCACTCTGAAAGGGAGCCCCCACCCTGCTGGTGTCGGTGTGGTGCCTCCCCAGCGCCCCCCAAGGAAAGTCGGGAAATCTGCCCAGAGTGGCAGGGAGAAGAAACTCTGCTACTATTTATGACCAGCCAGGGAGCCAGGTGGGGGGAATCCCTTGGGCCCAGACCTTGAGGAGCTATAGTGAGGCTAAGAAGGAAGTGGCTTTGTCTCTGCCCAGCGTGCCCAGGCCTAGGGTGGTTCTGCACGTGGCTCTTGGGGCAGAGAGATTTTCCAAGTTAACCTTCTGCCTCAAATTCAAGGTGAGCCCTCTAGATGCTGCCTAGCCTCCCTGGGCCCAGAAGCTGGGGAACCAAGTGGGCGGTGATGGAAAGAGTGAGGGCAAACTCGGGCAGGCGTGCTGGGCCCAGGGTAGAACAGCCGCAAAAAGGAGTGAAAAGCAGGAAGAAAGGCTGAGAGCAGGAAGAAACCCCGCCCTGCTTCAAGGTGGGGTTTGGTCTCACCTGCAGGCTCTGTAAGGAACTTTACGGGAGCGATTTCTAAATCATTCCTTCTACTGCCCCACTGGGCAGGACCCAATCTTCTCTATATGAGATAAGAAACCAGACGGCAGCTCCTCACTCTGCACATCTCTCTCCGTTTTCAGGAGCCCAGCTGGCCTGAGGCTGGACCTTTTCCAGTGGCCAGAGCTGCCTGCTGCTCTTGGCTTCTGGGCACACCTCTCTCCTTTGTCCTTGTGTCTCCTGTGTCCTTTTCAGAACCTTTCCTTGGGAGCCCTCCCCACCCTTCTCACTCTGATGGAACAGGTGGGATTTGAAAGGTTTGGGGAAGTTCCCTGCACAGATTACACACACACACACACACACACAGCATAATTAGCACCAAATTAAAGCTTCTTTTATTAAGTTCTTACCTCCAAGCCAGTCTTTTAAATGTATTATCTTTTATCTGATTTGCTTCTGCTAATAACATGAGGAGATAAGGATTATAATTATCCTGATGTAACTAATGAGGTGGAGCTTAAGTCTCCTGCCAAAGTCACTTGGCTGCAGGTCAGCAGCCCAGCTGGCTGGCAGTACTGGCTGAGCCCTCTCCTCCCGGCTCCCCCCATGTGTCCTGCAGTCTTTTACCCTGACAGCTGGGCCTGTGACTGGGACAAGGGGTGGCAGACAGGGGGAGGCATTTCCAAAACCCCAGCACATCCTCTTCCTCATCCAGCCTTTGGCTGAGCCAGATTCCCGCAGAACCTGCTTCCCGCCACCCAAGAGAAGCTGTCAGTGGGTGTGGGCCACACTTTTCCCTCAAGGGACAGAATCAACCAGACAGGTGTGTCACCAAACCCAATGCAATGGTCCTTGTCCCTGCCCATTGCCCAATACTACACACACAACCCTTGACAACAGGAGCTCCTCCAAGTGTCCCCAGAGACTGGCAAAGGTGTAGATGTTGACCATATGAATTCCACCCTTTTGGGCCTCTCAGATAAGTGACTGAGAACTCAGGAATATAACCCCTGGATCAGTACAAGGGCTTTTGTGGCAAACCTGCCTCTGGGGAAGGACAAAACTCAAAGCTGTGGGTAACAACTTGGATCACCTCTGGGCGCTCTGCCACCTCCCCAGCCACCGTGTCCTCTGGTGAAGGGAGGGTCACTAGGAGGCTGCCTCTGTGGACTATGAGCTTGTCCCAGTTAGAATGTGCAGGACAGGCCTGTAGCAACCCCACAAAACCATCAAGAATCTTACCTCCCTGCCCCTGCTGACCGCTGCACCAGACACCATAGCCTCTGGGCTGAGGAGGCCACAGCTACAGGGGCCTGATTCAGCTGACCAGAGGCCTCCCAGAGTGCGTTCTGAGCTGGACGCCCAGGTTCCAGGCCCTGCCCCACCACCAAGAGCTGAACATCTGACCCTCACCTTCCCATCTATACAATTAGATGGTCCCAGTCTCCATCTCAAAAATTAAGTCTCAAAGGATAATAATGGACATGAGGCCCCGGCTCAGTGAGGCCATGAAAAGTGTGCAGAAAATGTAGCCAGGATTCTTGGGGAGTTTCTCGTCCTTCCTCCCCTCCCCTCAGCCTGCTGCCTGGAAGCCCATCCTCCGCCTGTCTGGCTCAGAAAGCTGCCCTGGAGCCATGTGCTCTGGGGTTTGGGTGGACATTTCTTTAAACAATTGCCTCAGCTCATGGCCGTGGAGGTGGTGGTGGGAGGAGCTGCTGGCCCTGAGCAGCTGCCCCCTCGGGCCCCATTTCTCCTCTGGGGGGAGAAGCAGATTTTCAGCACTGGCTCCTTGGCTGCCTCTGAGAAGTGTTGCCTAGGAAGAGAGGGATCTGGGGAGTGGGAGGGAGAGCAGAGGTGACCCCCTCCCCACCCTGGCAACAGGCCCCCTGCCCACACTCTGCTCCAGGCCGCAGAGCAGGCCACCCTTTCCCCTGCTGCGGGCCACATTCCTGGCATAGTCCAGACAGGCCCTCCTCTTCCTGTTGGAGTAGGGGCAGAGCTGGGAGGGGGAGGGCCCTGTGGTGCACAAGGTGTTTGGGCCAAGTACATCTGCTTCCTGGGGCCCAGCCTGGTGCTCAGGTCTGGGAATCACCACAGGACCCCTCTAACGGCAGCAAACTGCCCACTCTGGAGTAGTTTCTGGGCATATCCTCACCCTCATCCACACAGTCCTGCTGGGGGAACCTGAGTGCTGGACTTGACCTCTCTGAGTGTCAAGTTCCACAGCTATAGGAGGAGGATTTGGTGTTTTATTGTGAGTGAGGTGCTGGAAGCCCCCAGGTGCATGGAAACTAGAAGCCTGATCCATGGCATATTCTCCCCTTCTTTCTCCCACCCAACCTCCTACAGAAGCCACAGACCTTTGCCATATCTTCCCAGTATCTCCCAAGCCTTAAGCAATTTCAAGGTCAGAGGGACCAGGACAAAGTGCCAGCTGGGAGGGAGAGAGGGCAAGGGGCCAAGGGGTCCCCAGCCCAGTAGAGTAGAAGTGAAATTTATTTTGAGTCACTTTCTGAACCTCATTGAATATTGCCAGAGAGCAGGCAGCTTCTGCCATTCTCCAGTCTCAAAACCAGTTCCAGCCAGCTGCCATATTGGAAATGACCAGCATGTGACAGGCATTGAACCCATTAGCACCCAGCTGAGACTGTTTCCCTCAGTGGTCAGGACTAGGACTGGAAGAGAGCTGAGAAAGGACACCCTGTCAGTGCACACACAAGTTAAACCAAGCTTTAGCACCCAGGTGACGTCCCCAGCTCTTGCGAAGTTGTATGGAGGGTGCTACAAGCTAGAGTAAAAGGGTAAGGTATTTCCCAGTGCAGGACTAATGAACCCCATCTTGAGAGTCACTTAACCTCTTGGACTTCAGTATTCTCATCCCCAAAACAGGAAGCAGGTCAGCTACTTGGGAGGGTGAAGCAGGAGGATCACAAGTTCAAGGCCAGCCTAGGCAAATTAGTGAGACCCTGTCTCAAAAAAATAGAAAGGGCTGGGGATGTATCTCCATGGTATAATGCCACAGGGTTCAATCCCTAGTAGTAGTAGTAGTAGTAACAACATCAACAATAAATTAAGTAAAATGAGGAGGAGGCCAATGGGCCTGGATTTCTGTACCCATATGGATGGAAGAGTGGGGCTGAGACCCTTGCAATAGGATTTTAGGTGTTGGCCTTTGATGACCAAGGGAGTTTTCTGCAGAGGAAGGGGAAGCATCCTCCAGAGTGCTTATTCAGACACTAGAGTGAAGTGACTCTCCCTGAGCATTGAGGATGTCTATCTCAGAGACATGTAATATGAGCTGGAGGTATGCCACAGGCAGCCTAGAGGAACTGACTAACAGCAAGCCGGCCATGTGGACAGATAGCCAGGGCCTGCTGGACTATCCAGGGAGTAACTGAAATCATGTCCAAAGGTCAAACGGGTAACAGGACATCAAATGACAAACCCATGTGTTGGGGGCGGGGGTGACTCTGTTCCTGCTAACCCAGTAAACACCTCTTTAGCAATCTAGTTCCCACCTCCATACCTGCTCTATTCCTGTTTCCATCACAGGAGGGTACGAGATTTAGGCTGGAGTCCCTACTTGATCAGATCACTGAGACATTTCTTCCAGGGTCTCAGCAGAATTATCCTTCTGAACCCTATGCTGCTTTCCACTTGCTTTACAAAGTAAGGGGGAGCCAGCTGCAGTGGCACCCACCTATAACCATAGAGACTCAAGAGAATGACATGGGAGGATCACAAGTTTGAGGCCAGCCTGCGCTCAGCAAAACCCTGACTCAAAATAAAAAGGGATGGGGATGTAGCTCAGTGGTAGAGCACCCCTGAGTTCAATAGGTCAAATGGGTCAATCGGTCAAAATCCACCCAAACCACTGCTAGGTGGAGAGAGATTCCTGCCTGGTCACATCCCTATGCTATAGCTAGAACTGTTTGTTTTTAAAGATAGCTAAGTCCAAATTAAGTGTACAAATGAAACACAGGCAAGGGGGGTGTCCTGTGTGACATGCAAAAGTGGGACAGATAAAAACCAGGGGTTTCACTTGGGACAAATGGTGATAAGTTAAGGATGTCTCTCATCTTACAGCAACTCTGGGGGAGACACAAAATGACACAGCTCAAAACTAATAGAGAAGATAGTACAGAATATTTTATTTAAAATAATTAAGGCAAACAAGAAGAACAGAAGCTCTCTAATCCCAGTGACAGGGCAAGACAATCCCATGTTTGAGGCCAGCCTCAGCAACTTAGTGAGACCCTGGGGATGTAGCTCAGTGGTAGATGGGCCATAGGTTCAATCCCCAGTACTGCCAAAAAAAAAAAAAAAAAAGAAAGAAGAAGAAGGAGGAGGAGGAGGAGAATAAGATGAAAACCAGAAGAAACGGAAACAGCCAGAAAGTAATATTTTAATACTAATCTAACACTCCAATATTAAATGTAGATAAACTGAACACTACAATTAAAAAGCAGAGATTGGACTGGGGTCTGGGGGTGTGGCTCACCCAACTGTATGCTGCCCACAAAAGATACACTTTAAATCTAAGACATATACATAGGTTAAAGGGAAGAGTGTTAAAGGTAGATCCTGTAAACGCCAAGCTTCAGGGAGCAGCAAGGTTCTATTAATATCAAAGGGGGCTTCAGGACAAGAGCTATTATAGGAACCAAGATGACTATTTCCCAATGGTAAAGGCACCAACTCACCAAGAAAATATAACTGGGCAACCTCCACAGGTGCCAGTCTCGGTTTCCCCATCTGCAAAGTGGTAATAATTTTAGTGGCTGCCTAGTTGGGGTGTGTCAAGGAGCAAATGACTTAATCCACATCTAGAATTTCATGCCGTGCTTGGCACATTGCAACGGTTCTGCCACTCTCAGGGTATTGCCCTTGGGACAGAGTTTTAAGCTCTCACCGTGACCCTGGCCCAGCTTATTTGGAGGTGAGGCTCCATAGGTGGCTCAAGATAAGATGCAAACACAGGCCACTAGCTGGTTCCTCCAGTTCTTTTTTCCTGGCTCTGGAGCAAGGTATGCAGGGATGCATGTTTAGAGAGCTAGGGTGGAGGAGTGGAAGGAAGGGGACAGCATGCAGCCAGTGGATCTATCTGCTGCTAGACCCAAGGGATGAGGTTAAGGAGACTGGGTTAGGGAAGGAGCCCAACTAGGTGAGGTTTGAATGGCTGCCTCTTTAGCTGGTGCTGGGGTGAGATGGCTTGGGTGACCTGGTTATCTCCCAGCCACAAGAAGGCAGCCAGCACCTGGGGCGTGGCAGGAGCCACAGCCTACTTTGGGCCTCTCCCCCGGACACAGGCACAGGGATAATGTCCAGTGGCATTACCTGCCTGCTCCTAAGCTGTGATGGCAACACGAGCTGTGACTTCAGAGGAGCTGGGAGCGCGTGAAGGCTGTTCCCTCGGAGGCCTGCTGGGGCTGAGCCAGCTTTGGTCAGGAGGCCTGAGAAGGGACGAGAAGGCTGGCTTTGGGATTGTGGTTGGCTCTCATTCCCAGGCTTGCAAGGTCTTCCTCCCTCCAACTGTCACTCCTGTCCTCTCCTCCCTCACCTGTCGCTTTTGTCCTTCCACCTGCTGTGGCTACAAACCTCCTTTGTATTGGAGATTGATTGAGCACCCACCATGTGCTGTACCTCACCCTTATTCTGACTATAGGTGGTGGGACAGTGCCCACAAGATTCACAGATGAGAAAACAGAGGGACTCTGAGAGACACTTGCCCAGGATCTCACAAAACTGGTACATGGCAGAGCCAGGCTTTGAAGGTCATCCCCTGACCTTCATTATTTCTTCATCCCATATTCATGTTCTTTACTGTTTGGGGCTCCAGATTAATCCTCTTCAATGCAATGAGTCATCCTAAATCTTCAAGGATTTCCCAAAGGTGTGGACTCCAGTTTTTTTTTTAATTAAATTTTACTTTTAGTTGTTGATAGAACTTTATTTTTATTTATTTACAGTGGTGCTGAGAATAAAACCCAGTGCCTCACATATGCTACCACTGAGCCACCACCCCAGCCCCCTGACTCCAGTTTTTAAAATCTGCCTCCCTATGAGTAAAACCTTGTGAGCATGTTCTCCATTACATGCTCATTCTAATCATCTATAAATTATTTGCTTATGCCAATGTATGCATTCTGTGCATTAGAACACATTCACATGTGGGTTTAAGGTGGGATGAATATATCTCTAATATTTTCCCCCTGCCTCTGGGATTGAGCCGGTGAATACTGCTGGGGTATGCATGCATCATGCGTAATGAACACTTAATGCAAGTGCCATTATTACTTCCATTTTATAGCTGGGAACACCAAGGCTAGAGGAGTCAAAATAAATTATTTGGAGAAATTATTCTCAATTATTCTCTAAATAATTTCTGATTAAGTACTAAGCTTTATGAAGCAAAAATGGTGTCTTACATTCCTGTTGATTCTTTCCAGCACTTAGTACATACACACATGTGCTCGCTTGCGTGCTCTCTCTCTCCTTCTCTCTCTCTCTAACACACACACACACACACACACACACCAAATGTTAAGCAAATTGTTAAATGAATGATTATTTGAAAGGGTGAATGAAGAAATTACCCAGGCCAACACAAAGAAGAAAGCCCATGTTGGAGGGGAAAGGCCCTATTTTGTTCTTGATATAGAATATACTGACTCCTATGTTGCAGGAGTTCAGAGCAAAACTACAGGTTTCCACTGTGGCTGAATCCAGGTGCTCAGGAATTCTGCTTCCAGCTGTGGCCTGGCCATCCTCTGTGTAAACTGAGTCCTTAGGCAGGCTCTGCTAGCAACCTCATCAGGAAGCTCACTGAACCAGCTTAACCAGCTTAGGTCATGGGATTGTTCTGGATCCCATTGCTATAGCCAGGAGTTGTGGTGTGCGATGAGTTCTGGATCCTGAATCAGGAGGGTGGGTAGTCCTAACACAATGCATGAGCCAAGAAGTGTGAGGAATGGGTTGCTATAAACAGAAGATGGGGGAATACATGGGGGAGTGGGAAGGCATGAATATACAGGGTCCACCTTGTCTCTTGCAGGACCTGGTAGACTGGCAGAAGCCTCTCCTGTGGCAGGTGGGCCACTTGGGAGAAAAGTATGATGAGTGGGTCCACCAGCCTGTGACCAGGCCCATTCGCCTCTTTCACTCAGACCTTGCCGAGGCCCTCTCCAAGACTGCCTGGTGAGCCTTGCAAGAAATCTGTGGTTGGCTGTCCTTCTTTCCTGATAGTGCCAGTCAGTTACAGTAGAATAGGCAATCAGGTTCCTCCCTGGAATATAGGGATGTACTCTAAGCTCTTGGGGAGGGTGGGACATGCCATAGACATAATCTATTCCTGTGCATGATTTTGTCCACTCACTCAGTGTAACCAGAAACCACTTTGAATGCCACCCCTAGTCTATTCACATTCCTCTTCTGGGTTAGCTGTCCCTAATGCCCATAGGAAAAATTTTACCTGCAATTAGCTCTTCTGCCACAAGAGGTCAGTGTCTATCCAGCTGCACAAAGTCAGCAGCAATGGGATGAGGTTCTTTTCTCCAAACGACACATCTCAGACAGGGGTAGATGGACTCACAACCTGTTTTATCCCCCTATAACTCCCACTAGTGTCCTTTAACTCCAGGTCTCCGATACTTTCTACATGTGCTTTCTACATATGCTACATCACATTGTCCCCTCCCCAGTTGAACTAGGGAAACTGAACCCGATGGAACCCCCATGCATGTATCTCTCTCACCCCGATGGCTCTCCTGCAGGTATTGTGTGCCCATCATCTGGGTGCCCCTGATGCTGTACCTCAGCTGGTCCTACTACCGAACTCTTGCCCAAGGCAACGTCCGCCTCTTCACATCGTTCACAACAGGTAATACCAGGTTCCTTTCAGACTTGTTCCCATGGGTCCTGGAGGCAGAAGATCTGTGTGTTCCTTCTCTTATGCCTATATTTCTAAGAGCATAAGACCCCAAACAACATACCAAGATTCTAAGTGAGGCTTATGTATAGAAAACTTTGAAACATTTTGGCAGACTTCTATCCGACCCCAAAATGGATACAAAACTCAGCAACACATCAGCAGAAACTAAACAAAGTCATTTCCCCAGATGGCATAGCAATAAACAGGTTGGGACACGGGCGGCAGGGGTGTTCTCAATGAGTCTAATACCAAGAAATATAAAACCTGAGATTCTTTGTCAAGAAACTAAACAAGGGAGCTGGGATTGTAGCTCAGTGGTAGAGCACTTGCCTAGCATGTGTGAGGCACCACATTCAATTCTCAGCACCTCACATAAATAAATAAAATAAAGGTCATTGAAAACTAAATATATGTATATATTTAAAATATATAAATACATGTAAATATAAATATATATAAATATATTTAGCATATTAATATATTAAAATAAATATATTTAAATATTTTTAAAATATATATGTTTATATAAAGAAACTAAACAAAGCCAGTCGCAGTGGAGCTCACCAGTAATTCCAGAAACTTGGGAGGCTGAGGCAGGAGGACTGCAAGGTTGAGGCCAGTCTGGGCAACTTAGCAAAACCTTATCTCAAAATAAAAAATAAAAAGGGCTGGGGATGTAGGAATGTGGTGGAGCACTTGCATAATGTAGCACAAGGCCCTGGGTTCCATCCCCCGCACAGCAAAAGTAAAAAGAAGAAGAAAAATAAAATGAAATCATTTTACCAGGTGGCACAGCTGAGAGCTAGACTCAGACTGGTCTGCAATCAGAGCACAGATCAGCAGAGAACCTGGGAGAGAGAGATCTGGGAGGGTCCTAGCACATGTCCAAGGCAAAGGACTGGGCAGCAGATCCCTACCCTAGGAGTAACACCACTCCCTCTGCTGAGCACTCAGCCCGGTGCTTTCCGGGGACTGGCTCATGGAGCCCCCTTAGCCCAGCAGCCCTATGGGAAGGCACTGTTATCATCCCTTCTTGAGTCTGAGGAAATGTAGTCATTGCTCAGTCATGCCAAACACAGTAAGCACACAATTTTATCTACCAATTTCAAAAAATTACAAGTAAGTTTGAGGAAATAAAGCCTCTCAGATGTCAAGCAAGGTATCCAGGTTCCTGTGGCCCAGGATGTAGAGACAAGGTGTCCAACAGCTTCTAATCAGGGGACAGAGGACAGAGAGGGGTTGACATGGGCCCTGTAGGACCAGGTGTCTCAGGGTGGCCATTCTGCCAACCTGCCCCACAAACTCACTGCATAGCCTTCTGGTATCCTGAGCCTCCACCTGCCCAGGTGGTCTGTCTGGCACCTCCGGGAGGTATCAGGAGTACCATGCCTCTCAGGGGGGCTTCCTCTGCTGATCACAGTCACATTCCTGACTCTGAGCCCTGCTCAGTCTACCAGGTGCAGGTGCTGACTCCTTCCCCCTTATCCCAAGGCTTTGCTCCTGCTCACCTCCCCCAGGGGCAGCAAGTCAAGGGCTTAAAGGTTTAAAGAGGGGCCATGACCACAGCGATGGGAGCCTCCGTTTATCCGCCTCACCCAGGATGAGGCGTAGATGAGCAAGTTGGAGGCAGCCCCCCTCCAAGCCAACCCAGAACTGCTGCTCCCAGTCACCAGGGGTCACCGTGTGTGCCCTGCGAGCCAAAGTCAGCCTTTTCTGCCCACACTGAATAGCTCAGGCACAGCACAGGGCCTGTTGCTCAGAAGGCCCCTGGCTGAATCGCCCACTGTCCACCCAGAGCTCCCCTAACAATCACTGACAGTGGCAGGGCCGCCAGGGCTGGCTGCCGGAGGGGGAAGGGGACACTGAAGCTTTGGCCCAGATCCCTCTGCCGGATTCCTCCCGAGATGCCACTCAGTACCAGCTCCAGCCGGCTGGGCAGACAGGGTGATGCTGGGGTGAGGGGGCGGGCAGAGGCTTGACCTATAGGAGGGGACTGTTCTGCATGGCAGGGAGGGCAATTTGAGGACTCCTCAGCAGCACAGGCCTCTGCAAGCAGCTAAGATGTGCCTGTGTGGTCCAGTGTGGAGGGCCAGTAAGCCTGTGACCACGAGACCAGCAAGGTGGCATGATCCCCCAGCTCGTCATGCAAGACACAAGACATGGAGCACATAAGAGCCCACAAAGCAAGGCAAGGGGATACTCAGAGGAGTCCCAGTGCCACCGCTGGACAAAGGGATGATCTAGAATCAGTTCAGAAGAGTCAGGGTGCCAGTAAGCAGTGCAAGCTGAAGGGAGACACTAGTTCAAGGCTGAATTCCTAAATGTATATATGCAGATACTTTGAAAAGCCAGCTATATTCTGCAAATTCAGAATGACCCCCAGGGCACATTAGGACTGTGAGGATTCCTGAGACAATGTTAAAGGAAGGCCCAGCCAGAACTATTGCTGAACAGCATCCTGGGGGAGGATGTTGGCCTCCAATGGGATTGTGCCAGGGGAGCCCTGGCAAAGGTCAAGGCCAAACTCTGCAACCAGGGACTATTCCTGTGTGTCTAGTCCTATGTGTCCAGAACTATGTGACAAGGAAGAGTACCTTCAAGGTCAAGGGAGAGCCAGAGAGGAAACTCCTTTTCCCTCAACAAGAGACCCTGTAGAACTCTGCTGGGAGAATCGAAAGAGAAAGGGTAAAAGTAGGACTCTCGGAATTATTAATATACAATGAGGTATTATTTGGTTTTTGTTTTCTTTTGTTTGCAGTATTGAGGATTGATCCAGGGACACTTTATCACCGAGTTACATCCCCAGCCCTTTTTAAGATTTTTAAATTTTAAGACAGGGTCTCACTAAGTTGCCCAGACTGGCCTCAACCTTGCAATCCTCCTACCTCAGCCCCCTGAGTCACTGGGATAACAAGCTTGCACCACTGCTCATGGCTATATATAATATTCTTCTTATAGAACCAAACACATATGCTTATCATATAATCAGGTATTATATTACCTCCACCCTAAAAACAGCCCTTCAAGGTGGATAAGTATTTAACTGTAGGTAAGGCAGATCCGGATTTGAAAGCAGGTCTGCAAATCCAGAGTCCGTGTTCTCTGCGCTTCACCAGAGTGCTCTGAAGGACCCCAGAGGAGTCAGGACTTCCCTGGAAGCTGGGCCTCTTGCTACCCAGAGCTGACCAGCCAAGGCCAAATGGCTACTTGCAGTCAAAGCCAGTGAAGCTGTTAGGCAAGCCCCTTGGACCAAAGGTGGGCATGGCAGGCCCGGCTGACAAGAGGTGTTAGAAACCTGATGAGAGAGATGCAGCCTTGGGGTTGAATCTTGGCTGCATCACATGTCAGTTCCATGGAGATTCATTCAGACATCAGGGTGGGGCTTGGCCTGAGTCTGGCCAAAGAACCTCCTACCTTTCCAGCCTTTCCTCCTTCCTCAGCAGCCACCATGGTCATTGGTTCAGGGCCTGCCAGAGCCTACAGACAGCCCCAGCCCCTCAGAAGAAGCTCCTTAACCAAGCCCAAAGCTGCCTCCCTCTGGGCCTGCCTCTGCCCTGGGAGTGGCAAAGGTCTAATCTCATCCCCACAATGAGGTTTTCCTCTGTTATTCTCTGTGCCCTGGAGATACAGACCCCACCCCTAAGATTCTTAACACCTAGTGGGTGGAGGTGGAAGAGAAAAATGGCCCACAGTACAGTGCAGTTCCAGGTGATGTAGGCAGGTGGAGTAAGAGGCAGGAACAGCCGGGTGGGTGAAGGCATCTGTATAGGCCTCACTGGTGGGCTGGATCTCCAGGGCTAAGGCAGGCAGGGGGATTCCAGGGAAGGAAACAGGAGCAAAAGTACAGAGCTAGGGGGAAAGAATGCAGTATATCTAAGGAGCCACAAGTGATTTAGTTTGGCCCCAGTAAGGTGACAGAGGCCAAACCTCAGTCAGGGATGTGGTCAGCAAGGTCAGATCTTGAGACCTGAGTGCTCTGCTGTGGAGACTGGACTTTGCCTAAAGGCCATGAGACACCATGGAAGGTTTTAACAGTATGTGGAGGTGGGGGGTGGGGGGGGGGGGGGGGGTGCTGGGGTTGCCATGGGGCAAGAGGTGATAAGATAAGGTAATGGGATTAAGAGCACCAAAATGACCCTAGACAGATTGATTTAAGTTGAGGTGAGATCCATATACCATCAAATTAGCCATTTTAAAGTCTGCGGTTGCTGGGCACAGTGGCGCACGCCTGTAATCCCAGCTGCTCAGTAAGCTGAGGCAGAAGGATCACAAGTTCAAAGCCAGCTTCAGCAACTTAGCAAGGCCCTAAGTCTGTTGGACATGGGAGAGGAGGCAGGTTGAGTCTGGCTCCTTTGGAAATGTGAGAACCCCTCACTGAGGAGGGAGCCCAGGAGGAACAGCCTAAGGGCAGAGGTGGGTGGCAGAAGAAAGAGGAGGTTGACTGGCTTCTTTGGGGGGATGTTAGCTATGGGGCCTGTGCACACATGGAGATGCCCAATAGCAAGCAGCCATCCAGGGGAGGGTTGGAAGTATAGACAAGGGGGTCGTCAGCATGTGGGGAGTGGCTGAAGTGAGATTGAGCAGAGAGGGTGGAGAGGCAAGGCTCAACCCTGGGAACAGAGGCAGAGTTTTCATGAGACAGCCTGAGAAGGGACAGATAGGCGCATCAGAACTGCACACTCTATGCAGGTGGTGTATATGGCACAAGAACTGTATTTTGATACAGCTGTTATGTAGGAAGAGAAAGTAGGGCAGAAGCGAAGGCATGTGGGAGAGAGAGGGAAAGCTCAGAGAGTGAGGACAGACACAGAGGAAACTGGACCAGAGCCGAAGGGACAAGGATTGAAGTCCTCGTGAGGTCAAAGGCAGAGTGGAGTGGAGAGAAGTAACAAGAGTTGCAAGGGCTGCAGGGTGTCCCCCCCCCCCCACCTTTGAAAATCATTAGGTCTGTCCAGCCTTCCCGCCCCCATCCAGGCCCATCTTGAGTTTTCTCAGGTCTTCCTCGGATGCTGTGATTTCAAGTCTTGTCTGCTGAGATTTCTACTTGGGTTTTCTTGCCCTTCCTGCCCATGGTCCCCAATCTTCCATCAGTAACCCCTGTCTCTACTGGCTTTGTTGGCATTGTCTCTTCTCACCCATGCCACTGTGGCAAGGTCAACCATCCAGGCAGCAGCCCGGCATCTGGCCGTAGCTCTGCTTCCTACGTCAGCCCTCTGGCCCTAGCACCTTTGCTCTGCTAAAGAGCCTCTCCCAAGCCTAGTACAGGTCCTCACAGCCTCTTCCCAGTTTCACCCAAGGCCTCCAACAGTGTTTCCTGGCAACAGCTCCCCAGCTGCCCAGGGGTGATGAGGTGGGGACATCCAGAGCCACCAGGCCTTGGTGTACCCTGGAACCCATCAGCTCTGATTCAGGCCTCTCTGCCTCTCCCGCAGAGTACTCAGTGGCTGTGCCTGAGTCTGTGTTCCCCGGCCTGTTTGTGCTGGGGATGTTCCTCTGGAGCCTCATCGAGTACCTCATCCACCGCTTCCTGTTCCACATGAAGCCTCCCAGCAACAGCTATTACCTCATCACGCTGCATTTCGTCATGCACGGCCAGCACCACAAGGTTAGTAACAGGGCCCACCACCTGCAGCTATAACCAGCCCCCCAGCGGTGGATCTTTCTTGGAGTCTGATGTTGGGCTGGAGTGACAGGAAACCAAGGGTGTTTGATATCGCTGAGTTGGATAACTGGATTGGGCAGCCTAATCTGAGCCAGGTGGACAGAGGGAGCATGTGTCTGCACAAACTCCATTGTTATTTATTTAATTGTTGGTTCCGGGGATTGAACCCAGAAGCACTTTACCAGGGAGCTACATCCCCAGCCCTGTTTATTTTTTATTTTGAGACAGGGTCTCACTAAGTTGCTTAGGTCCTTGCTAAGTTGCTAAGGCTGGCCTGGAACTTGTGATCCTCCTGTCTCAGCCTCCCAAGTTTCTGGGATTAAGGCGTGTGCCACGTGTGCCACTAGGCCCTGCCCCATTGTTATTGACCCAGGTACTCTGCATGCATCATCTTCTTCAATCCTCACAATAACTCACCCATTCACTCACCCAACATGTTCACTGAGTGCTTTCTATGGGCCAGGCCCTGTGCTAGAGGAAACAGTCAAAATCCTTGCCCTGAGGTGTGTGTGGGGGGGTACCTCCTCCTCCTCCTCTTGAATCTAGAGGCCCTTTACCACTGAGCCACATCCCCAGCCCTTTTCATTTTGAGACAGGGTCTCCATAAGTTGCTGAGGCTGACCTTGGACTTGTGATCCTCTGTCTCAGCATCCCAAGTCACTGGGCTTACGGGTGTCATGGCACCCGGCTGCCCTTGTGGCTCCGTTCCACAGACCAGGAAACTGAGCTTTGGGGAATCTAGGGAACTCCACAACCCACCCAAGGTCACACCTGGCACTGCCAGGATGTTGTGCCTCATTCTGTGGCCTCTGGCATCTGTGCTCTCAAGCACTCACCCCCTTGGGGCACTTCAAGGACTATGTGACTTTAACAGAAGTGGGGACTAGAAGCCAGATCTGCCCTGTACTGTGCTGTCTTTGTCCTTTCCCAGAGTGAACCCCAGGGAGTCCCCACCATATAGACTTCCCTGAACATTTACATCTTCCCAAAAGCGAGTCCTTAAACTGGGGATGTAGCTCACTGGTAGAGCACTTACCTAGCACGCAGAGGGCCATGGATTCAATCCCAGATACCAAAAGAAGGAGGAGGAAAAAAATAAATAAAAGTGAGTTCTTTTCCTTCACATTCTATTTCTTGCTGGGCATGAATCAGAAGATATGGCACGGAAAATACTTTTAGGACACAGTTCAGATGTAGAAAAAAGAAGCAAAACTTTAAGACCCTTATATTGCTGATAATGCACTTGGGTTTCGTGGCAGCAACTCAGCTTCACTTGTCTGAAGGAGTTCAGTCAAACTCAGGATTTTACTGACCTACTGAGAGAGTTGTCAGGTGGGTGGATGTGATACTCATCCTGTTCTCCCAGAGTGGATCTGTATTCCAGGGGTCCTATGTAATAGCCAGACTTGGTTGTGTGGCCAATCCTGGGCTGACCTGTCACTCAGGTATGCTCTAAGAGTTGCCAGGCCCCACCTGGCCAGTGCCCTTACTCCAGGTTGACATTCAGCCCATCTGACCCCTTCTCTCCCAGGTGTGCTGCATCTACAGCCATGTCCGTGCCCCCACCCCACCCACCACACTGTGGCTTTCACAATGCCTGTCAGATCTGCTGCCTGCTGTGTTAACTTCACCATCCTCAGAGGATGAAACAACTTCCTGAGGATCTGCTGAGGTCACCCTGGGGACCCAGGGGCTGTCTCAGTCTCCCTTTCATAGACACTTCCACACCAATATGTCTAGGCCCCCCGCTGCCTCACCACACCATGAAGACACGAAGAGCCTGTGTAGCCTGTAGCCACCTGGGCTCCAACAGGAACCTCTTCTCAGATGTCCAGGGCTATCTGAGGGTCCTAACACAACTGTGACTTGCAGCTGGCTTAGACCCTCACAAGAGAAATAACCCACACCCTTCCAGCTCCACTTTCAGTGACGGTAGCTTGAAATCAGCTCTGGTAGAGGCATTTTCACCATGAGAATTATCAAATGCTCCAAATCAGGGCTCACTCCTTCCCTCTCCCTTTCTCCCTCATCCTCCCTCTGTCCTTTTTCTGAGAGCTGGTTCTCTAGCCCTGCACGGGTCCTGTTGCTGCTGGTCTGAGTGTAGGAAGACCCACATTGTCTTCTCTCTCTCTCTCTCTCTCTCTCTCTCTCTCTCTCTCTCTCTCTCTCTCTTTCTCTCTCTCTCTCTTTCCAGCCCACAGAGGGTCTCTCCTTTTTCAGAATGCTAACCAAGCAGTCTAAAGGCTTACCAGAGCCTCTGAGATTTAACCAAGGGCCTAGCCCTTTTGTTCTCTGGTTCACTGTGATACCTCTTGGAAGAAGAGGAGATGGTGGTGGGGACGTCTCCAGGGTCAACTCTGTCTCTCTGGTCCCTCTGTCCACCACCAACTGCACCAATCCCAGCTCACTGAGGTCCCAGAAGACTTCAGGCCTCAGTCTCCTCCAGAAAGACCTTCCGGCCAGGGGTGCAGAGCTCCTGTATAGTACCAAATAAGTTCTAGAATCTGGTAGCTTCTGGAGAATGCAGTGGCTCTGAGCTGTTGGCACATCCTTACCCATCCTGCCCACGTCACACCCAGTCCTGCTTTCTTGGGAAACTTGCCTGATCTCATCCTGGTTTGAAACCGGGGAGCAGCACCCTCTCTCTAGGTCTTTCAGGCATGGTGGCCCTGCCCTCTATAAAGCTGCCAAAGATGCCAAGCCTAACCATGACAGATGGCTGTCCTCTCACCGGAATGTCTGGCTGCTCCACCTGATCCTCCATGGGGAGTATCTCTGGTTCACCATTCCATGACCACAGAGAGGCCCTGGGGCCCAGGGCTGCCTCTGACACCCAGGCCTCTATCCACAGGCACCCTTCGATGGCTCCCGCCTGGTCTTCCCCCCAGTGCCAGCTTCTCTGGTGGTCGCCTTCTTCTACATGGTCCTGCGGCTCATCCTGCCTGAGGCAGTGGGAGGCACTCTGTTTGTTGGTGGTCTCCTGGGCTACATCGTGTATGACATGACCCATTACTACCTGCACTTCGGCTCTCCACACAAGGGCTCCTACCTGTACAGAATGAAGGCCCACCATGTGAAGCATCACTTTGCACACCAGAAGTCAGGTGAGGACAGGTCCCGCTTCCCTTGTTCATTTGTTGATTTATTTGACAGCTGCCATTGAGTAGCTACCAATATCCTGGCTCCATTTAAAGTACTGGGCACACACAACGGGCTCCCTCTTTACCACTTTCTGGTGGAAGTGGCTGTGCAGAGACAGGCAAACAAGGAAGTCAATAAATGGCAAAGATGATTTCAGACAGTGTAAGCGCCATAAAGAAAATAAAGCAAGGTGGTATTTGAGGAACCACAGGGGTGGGAGGAGGGGCCAAACACAATCCAGTAAAACATTATGTGGACCTTGTGTGTGCTTTTAAACTTTCTGACAGCCACATTAAAAAGGAAGAATAAACATGAATGGTTGGAACTTTAATGCTATATTTACTAAACCCAGTAAAAATAACATGTGATTAATATAAAAAAAAAATCATTAGTGAGCTATCTTGCATTCTTTCTCTTATACTAAGTCTTCAAAATCCAAGGTGTTTTTTGCACCAAAAACACATGTTGATGGATGTCAAATCTTCACTGGGAACACTTGATCTTTATCTAGATCTTATAAAATCTAGATCCGCAGGTGTAAGCTGCTCCAGACGTGCTTACATGCTTTCTAGTAACCGAATTGAGTATCCCTTTTTCACATTGAAACTGAATTCGAATGGGATAAAGTCCGAAATTTAGCTCCTCTGGAGCTGTTGCCACATTTCCAGTACCTAGTGACCACATGTAGCAGCTAGAGGACAGCAAAGCTCAAAACAGAATGGCCCAGGAAGGGATTACTGCAAATACCATTAGAACTGAGGCCCAAATAAAGAGAAGCCAGGGCTGGGGTTGTAACTCAGTGGTCGAGCACTTGCCTAGCAGGTGTGAGGCCCTGGGTTCAATTCTCAGCACTGCATGTAAATAAATTAAAGATATACCAACAACTAAAAAAAATATTAAAAAAAAAATAAAAATAAAGAAAAGCCAGCATCTGGGAAGGAGTGTGCCAAGAGCAAGGTTGGTTTGGCCAGCCCTGGGGCAGAAGCTGGCCCCATAAGAGGTGAGAAGGGCAGGGGAGAAGCAGGCAGAGCCAGGCAATCCCAGGGACTCAGGCTAGACCAGGAGCTTGGGCTTATTCCCACTGTACCCTGGGGAATAGAAACTAGAAACAAGGTTGCCTTGTACTCCTGTCCTACCAAGGCGGCCCTGGCAGACAGGGCAGATGTTGAAATCTTCCCTGCACACCCTCCCTGCCCTGGCTCCCTTCCCGGGTAGGTTTATCTCTGCCTCTTCGTCAGTACCTTACCTTCTTCCCCACTTGTCTCCCTTTCTAGGATTTGGCATCAGCACTAAATTGTGGGATTACTTTTTCCGCACACTCATCCCAGAGGAAGCCCACCCAAAGACGCAGTGACAGCTCCTCCCAGCTCCTCCATTCTGCCCTCAGCCTGGCTGTGGCCCCGCCCCCACCCTCCATCCAGACCCTGCTAAGAAGGTTGGTTTGGCCAGGCAGGATGGGCTTTGCTGGGCCCTGGGTAGAGGGTACCAAGGAGACCCTGAGGCAGGACTGCCCTCCCGGCTCACCATGGGAGGATCATGGCCTCTTGATGGCCAGGTGGCCCTCAGGGACTGGCTCCTTCCCAGAGCATCCTGGCCTTTCCACTGGCATCCTGGCTCAGCCTCAGCCCATAAGACTGCTTCAGAGCCTAACCAACAGCCCCAAGGGGCATGAAGAAAACTGACCCCTGGGGCCAGATCTGGGCCCCCTCTGTGCCTTAGCACCTTGGGCTCCCTGGGAGCCGCCTCGAGCGGTGGAGGGACCAGTGTCACAGCAGGGGCAGGGTGGTGGGGCCTGCCGCTCTGCCTGCCCCTCCTGCACTTCCTGAAGAGGGTTGGATGGCTCTGAGGTGAATGAAGGGCTCTCACAAGAAGAGACAGCATGATGCCTCCCACAGGCCTCCTTGGGCCCCAGGGCAGCCCATCTAGCCCCTACCACCACAAATGGCTGCTCACACAGCCGGCCCTCCCCTGTCTGTGCAGAAGCCTAGGGTGTCTGGCCTCTGCCTCGAGCCGGGCAGGTGCCCTGGCCCCTGTCTTTGGGAATCACCAGCTGCTCTAGCCATCTCTCCTCTGGCCCCAGAGCCACAAAACTTCTTCCCCAGGGAGGCTGAAGAGGCCCTTCCACTGGTGGCCCACCCCAGCCCCAGCCATTCTTGGCCTCCAACCTGGCACAAGTGGGCCCCTGTGACCCCACTCAGGACCCGCCCAGCCAGTGCCTCCTGAAGCCAAGGAGGAGCCTTCGTGTGGTGCCTTATCTCCCGCCCCACATCCCACACCCTGCAGATGAGGCTCCATCCAGACTTCCTTGTAACCAAAATCCTCACTGCTCCTGAGAGGGTCTTATTTATAAATGATAGAACTGTCCTCAGTCTGGCCACAGACCAAGCAGGTAGTCAGACAGCCCTGTCTAATCCTACATGTCGAACTCATGTAAAAATCGCTTTGCCCTGTTTTTGGCCCCTTCTCACCCACAGACCATTACTACTTGAAACTTGTTAAAAACTCGATGCGTGTAAAGGCTAAAGAGAAGCAGTTCGACCGATCCTGTGATTTGTACTGTTTACTGCGAGGCTATTTAAAGATTTTGGAATAAATATACAAAATTACAGTTGTGAAAAAAAAAGATGTAAATAAATTGTATATTTTGAAAAATAAAACATTGAAAAGAAGCCTGCAAGGATTCTTTGTTGTTTGTTGATGCCAACTCCATCAGACTCCGTGGTGACTGGGAAGTGGCAGGGGGACTAACAGGGAAAGGATTTTATTTTATACTGACCAGGTTGTGTAGAACTGCTGGGGCCAATAAAAAGCTGACCGGCTCTTATGCTGTTACTTGGATTTATTACTGTGTTTAAATCCTCCTTAGGTGGCATCTCCCCTTATTGCCTGCATCCCAGGGGATGGCTCCCGCAAACTCCCTGGATATGGCCACTGGGGAGGGGTCTCTTCTGGAATTTATGCAACCCTAGCTAAGATTCATCAAGAATGTTTAATGTTTGCTGGGCGTGATGGCACACAACTGTAATCCCAGTGACTCAGGAGGTTTAGGCAGGAGGATCGAGAGTTCAGAGCTTCAGCAACTTAGCCAGGCTCTAAGCAATTCAGCGAGACCCTCTCTCTAATAAAATATAAAAAAGGGCTGGGGATGTGGTTTTGTGGTTAAGCATCTCTGGGTTCAATTCCTGGTACCAAAAAAAAAAAAAAAAAAAAACCACACATTTTTTTTTAATGTTTGTTCAGGAGAAATGTTGTTTACATTATGATCTGTGTGAAGTAAATATGAGCAGGGTGCAGGGGCACATACCTGTAATCTCAAGTTCTCAGCAGGCTGAGGTGGGAGGATTTCAAGTTCAATATCATCCTGGGCAACTTAGCAAGACCCTGTCTCAAAATTAAAAATTTTTTAAAGGCCTGGGAATGTTGCTCAGTAGTAGAGCACCCCCCACCCCAGGTACTACCACACACACACAAAAAAAAAATTTTAAATAAAAAATTGACATGACCCTCAGTGATCCTATCAATCTGCCTCACCTGATTCTCCATCAAAGACCCAGCTGGCCAAGGACAGGCCAGAGCTGTTGTGTGTCTAGAGGGTACATCACTTTGGCTTCACAGACCTGGGGCTTTGGAGCATTTCCTGGAGGACCTGAAGAACTACCCTCTTAATTCTGCTCCGTTCCATTCCTCTGTTGCCTCTGGTCTCTGATCTCTATTTTTGAACTTCGTACAATTTCTTACTGTGCCCAGCACAATGACCAATTTGTAACAAGGCGGATAAATGCTAGTCTTCTCTCCACCAGATCTCCAGCCAGTATGTCTAATGGTTGCCTCTCAGCCTGTTTCCTGGCCTCTGCTGCCCTCTGGTGGCATCAAGGAGCCCTTCCCCTTTATGACTGCCTTCACATGACTGTTTCTTGAAGCAGGTACCTGATTTTTAAATTCCAGTACTTTCCCACTTTACCTGTTCTCTTGATTTACTTTCTTGTCTCATTACAATTTGTGAGAGGAAATGTGTATAAACTTACAGCTCTAAGTTTCCAAAAAGCTACAGTGGTTGCAAAGTTTCAACTGGAACTTTCTTTACATACAGTTAGGTGTTTTGCATGAATGAATTTTAGTTACAAAGGATGTCACAGGATGAATGTAAAATTAGAAGATGCCAGGACTCTCATCTGCAGAAAGAGTCCATCCCAGACAGCTATAACAGAAAAGAACTCAGAATAAAATCTCTAGTTCTAGAAAAAACATAAAGGTAGAATCCCAGCTTCATTTAGGTCCTTGAAACGCAAGAACATAGGTGCAGGTAGTGTGTTGGGGAGGTTTGGGAAGGGAATGGTGGGGAATATTTCTTTTTTAAATATTTTTAAGAGGGTACCGAGGTCTCACTGAGTTACTTAGTACCTTGCTTTTGCTGAGGCTGGCTTTGAACTCATGATCCTCCTGCCTCAGCCTCTTGAGCCACTGGGATTATTTACATGCATGCACACCATGCCCAGCAGTGGGGACTATTATGTGAAGATGAGTATAAGTTCTTTATAAGCTCTGCAAGGCCATCCTGAGAAGCATAGAGGATATCTGCCAAAATTGTCCACTTAAAAGACAAGAAACTAGAACATTTGCTCACCAGCGTCCACCCTTATTGGTTGAGGATTGTGTTCAGGGGCATCAATTCCTCCCTCTCTTACGGGCTACCCCAAGACATACAAACTCTCTTAGTCCATTTTGTGTTACGATAACAGATGCCTGAAACTGGATAGCTTATAAAGAAAAGAGGGTGGTTTTTTTTTTTTTTTTTTTTTTTTTTTGGCAGGGTTGGGGGTTTGTTTGGATTTTAGGGATTTGTTTGGGGATTGTACTGGGGATTGAACCCAGAGCACTCTACACTGAGCTGCATCCACAGTCTCTTATTTTTTAGTTTGAAACAGAGTTTCACTAAGTTGCCCAGGCTGGACTTGAACTTGTGAACTTGCAATTCTCCTGCCTCGGCCTCTCTAGTCGTTGGAGTTACAGGTATGCAACCACCACACCTGGCTGAAGAGAGGTTTATTTAGTTCATAATTTGAGGGACTGAAATTTCAAGATCAGGTGGTCCCATCTGCTTGGCATCTAATGAGGGCTTCTGGCTATGCCATAGTATGACAAGTGGCAGGAGCATGTAGGAAAGAGGGATTCAGGGTTGGTGCCAGGTTATATAACAACCTGCTGTTGTGAGTTGTTTTTTTTTTTTAAATATTAGTTGTAGGGGCTGGGGATGTGGCTCAAGCGGTAGCGCGCTCGCCTGGCATGCATGCGGCCCAGGTTCGATCCTCAGCACCACATACAAACAAAGATGTTATGTCCGCCGAAAACTAAAATATATATTAAAATTCTCTCTCTCTCTCTCTAAAAAAATATAAATAAATATTAGCTGTAAATGGACACAACACAATGCCTTTATTTTTATGTGGTGCTGAGAATCGAACCTGGGTCCCGCCACTGCTAGGTGAGCGCTCTACTGCTGAGCCATAATCCCAGCCCCTGTTGTGAGTTTTGATCTAATCCTACAAGAACTAGAATTCCCACAAGACAGCAGTACCCATCTTAAGACCTAATCACCTCTCTTACAGTCATCACCATCTTAATACCTTCCTGGGGAATTAGGCTCAACATTGAGTGCTGGTGGGAACAAATCACAGTGCAAGCCAAGAAGATTCCTTGGCTTTAGTAAGGTTCTCAGGCTAAAGCAGGAAGATGAAGACATGCACTGGAAGTAGGATGTTGTCAGTACAAGTTGGTGTGGGAGCCCAGCATTGTGGCATGCACCTATAATCCCAGCCTCAAGAGGCTGAAGCAGGAGGATCACAAATTCTAGGCCAGCCCTGGTGATTTAGCAAGACCCTGTCTCTCTTCCTAAATGGCAGTCCCAGTAAGAGCCTTACCTGCATATCCACATGTCCAACACAGTTTTATTTCCATCATCAGGTCAAAAGCCGTCAGTATCTGACATCATTATAACTGAATTACACCCCCAGCCTGGTAGGTTTTGTTGTTGTTGTTTTTTCAGTTTGATAAGGTTGGTAGTAAGGTCCCCACTTTCACTTGTGATTTTTGTTATTTTCACCTTTTCTATTTTACTCGGTCTAGCTAAAGTTTTGTCAGTTTTGTTAATTTTTTTTCAAAGAACCAACTATTAGCGTGGAACAGTAGTGCATGCCTGTAATCCCAGTGACTTGGGAAGGCTGAGGCAGGAGAATCTCAAGTTAAAGGCCAGCCTCAGCAATTTAACAAGGCCCTAAGCAATTTAGTGAGACCCTGCCTCAAAATGTAAAATGGATGTGGGATGTACTCAGTTGTAAAGCATCTCTGGGTTCAATCCCCAAGACCAAAACAAAAACGAAGAGCCAACTTTTGGTTCTGTAGATGATTTTGACTTTAGTCTTTACTATCTCCTTTCTGCTGGCTTTGAGTTTGGTTTGCTCTTCTTCCTGTCCCTTAAAGTGTAGAGTTGGGTATTGAGATTCTTTCTTCTTTTTTTCACTCTAGGCATTTACAGCTGGAAACTTACCTATGAACCTTGCTTTTGCTTCATCCCATAAGTACTGGAAATTCTAAAAATATTTTCTAATTTCCCTTGTGACTTCTTTGACCCACTGGCTGTTTAAGAGTGTTTCTTAAGTTCCATATGCTTATGAATGTTCCTGCTTCCCTTCTGTTATTGATATCAAACTTCATTCCATTATTGTTGAGGGACATAATTTATACGATATCAATCTCTAAATTTATTGAGCAAGAGCTGGGGATATAGCAGAGTGGTAAGAGCACTTGCCAAGGATGTCGGTGAGGCCCTGGGTTCAATCCTTGGTACCACAAATAAATAACTAAATTTATTGAGCAAGATGTATTTTCACTTCCTTGGGAAAATTTTCTCCTTAACTCATGGATTATTTAGAAATATATTATTTGATATGTGGTTTGCAAACATTTTCTCCAGTCTATAACTTGTGTTTTCATCCTCCTAACAGGATCTTTGCAGAGCAAGTTTTAAATTTTGATCAAGTCTGACATATCATTTTTTTAATTTTATGGATAAAGTTTTGTGTGTGGGGAGGAGGTACTGGGGATTGAACCCAGGGTCTTGCACATGCTAGGTAATTGTTCTACCACTCTGCTAAATCCCCAGTCCTGGGTAATGCTTTTAGTATCATGTCTAAGAATTCTTCACTTAGTTTTAGATCCTGAAGATTTTCTCCTATGTTTTCTTCTAAAACTTTTTTAATTTTTAAATTTTTTAAATAACAATTCTAAGATAAATCCAAAGAAAGTGGGAATTAATTCGGAATAGTGTGTACGTTTTTTAGTATGAATAACCACTTTTATTAAATAGACTCATTTAAAACTTTTTCAAAAATTTACATTTTCTTGCTGGGCGAGGTGGGGCACCCCTGTAATCCCAGTGGCTTGAGAAGCTTAGGCAGGAGGATCTCAAGTTCAAAGCCAGCCTCAGCAAAAGTGAAGTGCTAAGCAACTCAGTGAGACCCTGTCTCTAAATAAAATGCAAAATAGGGTGGGGGATGTTGATCAGTGGTGGAGTGCCCCTGAGTTCAATCCTCAGTACCGCCCCCTCCAAATTACATGTTCTCTATAAGAAAAGAATCTTTCACCCCATTTGCTCATTTCTCTGCACTTTCTAAAAGTTTTAAATTTTACATTTAAATATATGATCTAGGGCTGGGGATGTGGCTCAAGGCTTGCGGCCCGGGTTCGATCCTCAGCACCACATACAAACAAAGATGTTGTGTCTGCCGAAAAACTGAAAAATAAATATTAAAAAATTAAAAAATAAAAATAAAAAAATAAATCTATGATCTATTTGGGTTTTTGAATAAAGTATGCAGGTTAGGTCAAGTTTATCTTTTGTCCAGTTATTCCACAGCCATTTGGACACCATATATCTAACAAAGGATTAATATCTAGGTTATAAAAACTTTCAAAACTCAACAGTAAAAAAAAAAAATGTTTAATGGGTAAAAGACATGTAACTCCACATTCACCAAACAGGCTACACAGATGGCAAACGGCACATGAAAAGATGTTCAACATCATTAGGCACTAAGGCAGTGCCAATTAGAACCACTTCCAGATATCACTACACATCTAATTAAAATTACTAAAACGAAAAATAGTACTAAAACCTCAGTTACCCAGGAGGCTAAGGCAGGAGGATGGTAAGTTTAAGGCCAGCCTGGAGAACTAGGTGAGGTCCTGTCTCCAATAAAAAACAGAAAGTGTATAGCTCAGGGTAGAACATCCAGTTCAAACCCTAGTACCAAAACAAACAAATAAATACTTTAAAACAGTGACCAAACAAAATACTGATGAGGATGCAGAGAAAGTGGTATCTGCAAATCACATGTGAAAAAACAAGCTCAAATGTTATGCACGGAATGATTCCATTTCTATCAGGCAAGTGCACCCACTGGGCAGTGACTGTTAGTGTTGATCTCTAAGGGCTAATATTCTCTGGACCATTGCCCTGGGCAGAATGGTAGCTGCCTCTTACCCTTGAACTTCATGCTCCAAAACTCACTGTGGAATCTGGCTGACCTTCCCATAAATCTATCTAGTCTCCACTGAGACCACATCCTTGTTTCACTTTTTTCCCCTCTGCCCTTCCTATCCGGAAAGCCTTCCTTCCATAAGTAACATGTCCCTGAGTTTCTTGACCTAAGAGAAGAACAAAATTAATGAGACAGTAGATGGAGAACAAATTGGAAGGGCAAATAAATGAATAAGTGAAGACCCTAGACAAGTCTTTTCATACAATTCATTTCTGTTCCTTGAGTGGAACACAGCTTGATGAGTGAATGACATTTCTTAGACTATCTAGCTAGGGACACAAATGACTTTAATAAAAACATAACTCACACCATAACAAAGCTTTGCAGTGACTTTAGAGGAAGAAGTGATTCCCCCCCCCACACACACACACATACTTGGGTGTGTCTCTTCCTTCACTGCCTTGTCTCCACACACAAAGAAACACCTGCCAATATTCTCCAGCACAAAGACGCAGGCCTCAGAACCTCCTCTCAGGCTTACACAGCTTTTTTTGCTCCAGGCCTCCCCATACTCTGTCCAGGTTATCAGCGTTTCCTGGCCTCAACTAAGCAAAGGACCTGGCACTGGTGAGTACTCTGACTTGTTCCTGAGTGCATTTGAGGAAGGTGGGGAAGAGTGGGGGAGGGGGCATATCAGGAGGAAGGCCTTGGCTCGGAGCCACCTAGAAAGGGGCTCCAAGGAGCCAGGACACCATGAGTATGGAGCTTGGCAGGAAGAGCCTCCAAAAAGGGAGCTTCCAGGCGTGTCACTGCGCAACGTATAGGCATCCCGGACGCGGGGGCAGTGACCTCGCGAGGACCCAGAACGGAAACAGCCGTCCCACAGGCTGATTGGAGGGAGGCTGCCCAGGCGCAGCGGTGTAGCCGCGGTTTCACTTGAGGAGGGAACTAGACAACAGGTCGCCACCAACCACTTGTGGAGTCCCACACAAGAGACGCAGAGCACGGGACACGCGAGGGAAGGAGGCGCAGAGGACTCGAGACCCCCAGGGCTGGGCACACTCCCCTGTCCCCGGGACAGAAGGCAATCGTCGGAAAAGCGGGAGGGAGGAGCGGTCTATCTGAAATAGTAGCGGGACAGACTGGATGTACTGGATGTACGTCCCTCGGAAGGACGAGGGTGAGCTCAGGTTGGTCTCGGGGCGCGCGGATTCCTGGGCGGTGATGGGGGAGAGCCGGGGCCGGAGGCTGGGGCTGAGCTACTAGTCGGGTTCCTGGAACTCGGAACCGCGTTGGTTTCGTTTCCTCTGCTCCGACGGGTGGAGCTGTCAGTCTATCTCCGCTCGGACGGGTGGAGCTGTCAGTCTATCTCCGCTGGGACGGGTGGAGCTGTCAGTCTGTCTCCTGCCAAAGCAGGGACGCAGAATAGGGAGTGTGATCGCTGAGCTGTAGCGGCGCGGACCGGCTCGGAACTGTCCAAGCAGCCCTAGACTGACAGCTTCAGGCGGTCACTGGGGCGATTTCCAGGATAGCGGGTTTCGGTTCTAGAGGGTGCATGCCCTCTTCCTATACGGGGATCCATTTTAAGGGAGGAAGCGGGGAAGAAGGAAGAGAGAGTCAGATAGACACCCGCCTGGCTGCTGCCTGGGGCGAGGCCGGCTTGCCGCGTGCCCTTTGCTCACCCCAGAACCCAGGAGAAGCCTGAGGACGCTGACCAGCACCGGCTCCTCGGAGGTAACAAGAGGACCCAAGAACCGTAAGGCAGGGCAAATACTGCGGCGGGGGTGGAAGTGTCCTCCAGGCCTCAGAAGTAGAGTGACTTGTGTGACAAACTGAGGACCAACCGATGTGCCCCGTATCACTCGCGGGCTGAGATAGCATAAAACACCCAGCGCCGCTGTTCGATGCAGAGCAAACGAACCAACCGAACCAACGAACCAATCGAGGCAATGCGCGCAGGAAGAATCACTGAATTTTTGGTGTTTGACAACATGCACCTGCATGCTTTGGGGTAATTTTCGCGTTCGTGGTGGCCAAGAAAGTTTATCACATTGGCCTTTACAGACCCGGATGGGTGACAGCCCAAATCGGAGTTTCTGTAGCTGAAGTTTCCGGGAGACTTTCTTGAGGAACTGAAGCCACCAGGGAAGGTGTTTGCAGCAGCCAGCTTGTTCAACCTCTGCGCTCTACGGAGTTCCTGGAACCCATCAGAAGCGTCTGCGGGGAGGAGGCACTGAAGAATCTCTTGCACAAAGGGTCTCCAAGTTTGTCCCAAACCAAATGTTTGTCTGCAGCAAGCACAGGATTCTTTTCTCTCAGAGTGGCCAACATCCAATGGAAGAAAGTGTGGATGGTCCAAAATGGAGCATCTCCTTCCATCCAAGAGATTTCTGAATTCACCATTGTGAGAAGGGCCTCCTTCATCTCTCTTCCTTTAACAGAACAGAAATTCAGATGAGATCCCTTTGAAAGACTTACTTCTGCATTTAAACCCCTGCAAGAGCACCCAGGAAGCCAGCTTCTTACTATCCACCTCTCTGGCTCTCTTCTAAACATGAATGAAAAAACCACAGAACCTGATCCTGAGGCTTGGGATGAAGTTTTCCTAAGGATAGTAGAACAGAAAGAAGGGAAGAATCTGAACTGATGACAATATTGAGCCATTGATTTAAAGTGATCCTGAATTCTACATCACTCTTCAACTATAGGTTGAACCAATAACCTTCTGTATTATTTAAGTCACTTTGAATCATGTTTGCTCTATTTGCAACTAAAGACAACTACATTTAGTAATGAATGATGATAACAATGATGCCAAACCTCTTTATTCACCTTCAACATGCTGAGTGCTTTGGAACCACCAACTCACCATGGTTATCTCCATTTAATTGATGAAGATACTGAAGTTCAGGGAGATTGCATTCAGATGAGTTCCCAAAGTACTTTAAAATAAAGTTAATCTCAATAGCTCAATGGAATAGATAAGTAAGATTATCACCATTTTAAAGATCAGATAACAGCTTGGAGAAGATAATTGGCCTAAAACCTGAATCTGACTTTAAAGCATGAATAAGGCACTGTCAAAAGTGAAACCAAATAAACAAGCAGCCAGGCGGTAGCACATACCTGTAATCTTAGCAACCCTAGGTTCAATCCCTGGTACCAAAAACAAAAAAAGCAATTTAAACCTGGGCACGGTGGTGCATGCCTGTAATCCCAGCAGCTCAAGAGGCTACCTAAGGATGGTAGAACAGAAAACAGGAGGATGATGAGTTCAAAGTCAGCCTCAGCAACAGCAAATTGGCTAAGCAACTCAGTGAGACCCTGTCTCTAAATAAAATACAAAATAGGTCTGAGGATGTGGCTCAGTGGTTGAGTGCCCCTGAGTTCAATTTCCGGTAGCCCCCTGCCCACCCCCCAAAAAAAGTGAAACCAAATAAACAAGCAGTAGACACACTTTTGTTCTTATTGCCTTAGTTATGACTTCTTGGTCTAGGGACAGAGGTAACAGGAATTAAGACACTCCTGAAAAGACTCATGTATCTCAGATTATCCAACTGTTCCCAGTTGCTAAGCAGATGTCCTCAGGGCCATTTCTTGGGACTTGTGAAGGCAAAGGGCTTTATACCTTATCAATTCCACCAGAAACAGAAGCAGGTGTGAAAATATTGCTCAGACAATTGGATTTCCACTTCCGAGCTCCAAATTCCAGTGGCTTTCTTGCTAAGCCTCATCATAAAACAACATCTCAGCAGTAACCAATCAGAAAGGATAATGGGGGAAATATTCCACTCATGGAAGTGATCATTTATTTTTTTTCAAGTTGAGCACAGAATTTTATTTCAATACAACACGAGAGAAAGACAATGATAATTTTAACAGTATAGAACATGCAATGTTATGATCATAACATAATGGGAATGTTCTCCAAGTTGAAAAGAAACAGGTAATCCATTATAATTCATCAGAGGCTCCCAAGCACAGCATTCTGAATTATGTTTATATATTAAATTGATAGTAGAAGGCTGTCGGCAGAAAGAACAAATGTTTGTTCTTCCAGATAAATTCTATGCCCAGAATTTCATTAAAAACCCCATAAGCTTCAAACTCCAAACACTTTCCAGAATATAAGATTCACAAGAAGACAAATACCCCATATGTAAGAGATTCTGTATATCACAATTAGCTGAGTTCAAATATTTGGTTGAATGATACTAAATTTTGTAGGATTTTCATAAGCTGCTCAGTCTTCTTGAGCATCAGCATCAGACTGTACCTTAGGATGAGTGAAGTCTGTTTGTTTCCCTTTTTTTTTTTATAAATTTATTTTTTAATTTTTTTTAAAGAGAGAGAGAGAGATAGATAGAGAGAGAGAGAGAATGAATTTTTAATATTTATTTTTTAGTTTTCGGCGGACACAACATCTTTGTTTGTATGTGGTGCTAAGGATCGAACCCGGGACACACGCATGCCAGGCGAGCGCGCTACCACTTGAGCCACATCCCCAGCCCCTGTTTGTTTCCCTTTATGTTTAAAAATGACATAAATCCCGGGCCTGGGGTTATAGCTCAGTGGTAGAGCACTTGCCTAGCATGTGAGTGGCCCTGGGTTCGATCCTCTGCACCACACAAATAAATAAAAATAAAGGTATTATATCCATCTACAACTATAAAAAATATTTTTTAAAAAATGACATAAGTCCCAAGAGAGGCTTACTAAATGTCCATGCAACAAAAATATTTTAGTACAACATTTAGCAATATAAACTATGCCTTTTTATAAATGAAAAGAGAACCTCCCTCCTAACTGGAGCTGACCAATCCTGGGATATATGGACAGGACAACCTCATCCACCCTGAGTCTTGGCAGTCTGAGGCTGCTGCAGGCACAGAGATCAAGGAAGCATACAAGTTATGACAACCCTAGCACAGTGAAGTAAATAAAAAGTGTTAGGGCAAGTGGCATTTTGAAATATTTTCACCAGCAAAAATCACAGAGATGTAGAGCTGATGCAACCAATCTGGGCTAAAGCTGTATCTCCTTTCCAGGTTCCAGAACCATCTTTGAAGGTCTCCCTGGCTTCCTGCTTTTGTGATGCCTTCCTTCCCTGTGCTGCACTAGTCTTCTGTTGTATTCTTGCATTTACATCAGCCAACTGCTGAGTGAGTAAGTAAATGTATGGTGCACAAGTTCATATAAATATCTATACACACAAAGGCCTGAATAGTCCATACGATGGTTCCTTTTATAGCCATGTGTCCCATTTTAACTTCTACTTGTCTGCCTTTATCTGGCTCCTTCATTTCACAATCACACATACACACTTAATAAATGTTGATGGACCAGAGTCAGAATTTTGAGTCATTCAAATCCAGAAAAAAAAAAAAAAAAACATTCTTGACCCCAGCTAATTCCCTTACCTCCTTCAAGTTTCTGATCATTATCAGAGCGAAGCCTACTTTGACCATTATATCTATCACAACTTGACCACCCCATGCCCCATTCCTCTTCACCCGCTTCATCCTATTTCACTTTCTTTATATCGCTTATCACCTTTGAACAGACTAGAACTTAACTCACTATGTTCCTGGTTTAGGATCTGGCTCAAACTAGAATGATAACTCTACAAAGGCAAGAACCTTCATAGTGGTGTCAATAGCTCAAGAAATATTGTTGGGTAACTGAACAATAAATATCTTCTTAATAATTTAGCCACAAAAATATCTAAAATCTCATTTTAGATTATCTGATCTATAAAACATCAAACAGTGACCAAAAAAATGACTCTGCAAGAAAAGATTCCTTTGGGCTTATTCTATTTTTTACATGCACCTGTTTAGGGCACTCAGAACACATGGCATGAATTAGGATAATCTTCTTAAAAAGCAAGAACTTAATTTGGCCACAGACTAAATGAAACCCTTGGTTCAATGTTTTTAAATATACCTAAAAAATCTAATTCAATTAAATCTGAATTAGAGTATTCCAGTAACTCTCTGTCCCTGGCTAGTCCAATATCATTCACAAATTCAACATAGACAAGGTGTGGTTTGCTGGCTTATATTTTTAACTATCAAAATAAGTGCAAATGATAAGAAGCAATGATTTAGTACATGAATCAGGACCTGCAGATATATGGATGAGATGTGCTTCTCTGCTTTGGTCAAACATCTTAACATTACAGATATATGTGTACATATGTGTATTGCATGAATATAGCATTAATTTTATTGTTAGTACTTCATTTAATTCATTTTCCACAAGCAACCATTACTCACAAGTTCAACGTGAGAGATCAAAAGGGTCAAAAGAAAAAGAAAGAATGTTATCTGCATAGCTTTTCTTCCAGTTTGGTGCCAGTACCTGCATTCCAGAGCACACTGTAATTTGGCAGGTGGATAGCAAGCAACAAATCTCGGGAAGCATCTTGATTTCACAACCACTGAATGTCCTGCATAGGTCTGGCATGCTCCTGCATCTCCCACTGAGCTACTCCTGCTGCCACATATCAAACAAAATGATCTTCCCATTGACCTCAGCAGAAGCTTAACGCCAGCAATATGGTGAGCCAAGGTTATAGTGGTAGTTTTCCCTGGCCCATTTAACCTCAACAACATCAGCTTTATGTTTTACTAAAACTTGAAGCGTTTGGGCAGTCCTGGAATCCATTCCTACCATCAGCAAATGACATCCATAAGCAATTAAACCTTGCCAGCCCCAGTCCCACCGTCACCTTGTTGAGGGGGTTGAAGGTCCCTGTGAAGGTGCCAGCCGACACCTTGAAGTTCACGGTGTAATGCAATGTCAAAGGATCTAGCCCAGGTTTCCCAGCCGGCCGAAGCTCTGAAGTGACCATTTAAATAATAAATTTTACAAGAATGTGCTGTCATGGTATGAAAAACAAAACTGCACAAACAAAGCTTAAAGAAACAGGGACAAGTGTTTTATTTCTGGTTGGGATGATTAAAATTGACAAACCTGGCAGCCCTTCCCACATGTAAACCAAATTTAAGGTACTACCAAGAAAACTCCCAGTAATATGCTCTGATAATTAAACCAAATGACCCTAAAGTTCATTTGAAACAGGAAATTAGTGGGCATAACCAAGATTTAAAAATAATCTAAAAATAAATAATAGTCTTGAAACTCTAAAAAAAATTATAAAGGGACTCACCTGTAAGATATTTAAATATACTTAAAACTGGCTGGGGGTATAGCTCAGTGAGTGAGCACATGTTAGCATGTGTGAGGCCCTGAGTTCATCCCCAGCATCAATTAATTAATTAGCTAAATTAAAATTAAAAACTGCAGCAAGTAATATCATTTAGGGTCTGTTAAGAATACGACAAGGATGTCAAAGGAATGAAAGGGAATATAAATGTGTGTGTTGGGGGCTGGGGTTGTAGTTCGGTGGTAGAGCACTGGCTAGTCCAATATTATTCACAAATTCAACATAGTGAAGGTGTGGTTTGCTGGCTTATTTAACTATCAAAATAGGTGCAAATGATAAGAAGTAAGGATTTTAGTACATGAATCAAGTTTCATTCCTAGTCCTTTCTGTTTATTTATTTTTTGTTTTGTTTTGAGGCAGAGTCTCACTAAGTTACTTAGAGCCTCACTTAATTTATGAGGCTGGTCTCAAACTTGTCATCCTCCTGCCTCAGCCTCCCAAGTTGCTGGAATTACAGATGTGCACTACCACACTTGGCAATAATTGCTAATTTTAAAGTCAAAAACTCTTAAACTGGTAATTTTGAAATAAGCTTACTTCATTCGCAGGAAGGAAAAAAAAAAAAAGCTGACCAGCCTCAGTTGCCATTATCACTGTGTGTTTGTAGCCTTTCAACTCCAGGGCTTCAGCGAATGATTATACTCTTGACTCTCAAAAATGGAGAAGTGAAAGATAAACTAGAAAGTCCACATTTCAAGGAAAGTGGAAAGAAGCATATATCTTTGTGACAGTGAAGACTGTTCCTAGCTTAGCTTACTCCACATGTTTGAGTTGCCTGCCTGGCCCCTAAATACTTCTGTATTAGTTAGAATAGGCTCATCTGATAAAATAAATAGACCCCAAAATATAATGGCTCACATGCAATAGAAACTTGGTCCTCACTCACTTCACAGACCACAGTAGATGCTCCAGGCCTGTAGGCAACTCTCTTCCAAGCCATTATTCAGGAACCCAAGATCCTTCCTTCTTGGGGATCCCTCCCCAGTTCCTTGGGCTGCATCCAACAGGCAGAGGGAGAGAGGTGAACCTGCCTCAGCCAAAGGAGCACAGGTGTCATCCAGGCACACACCATTGGTGAGAACGGGTTACATGGCCACATGGAGACCCAAGGAAGGCTTGGAGCTGTGGTCTTAGCTGGACCGACACTCCCCAGCCTCAACTGCTGTGACGGAAGAGCAGAACAGATTTTGGTGGGCAGCAAGCTGTCTCTACTTTACATGAAAATAGTGAGAGACGGCTGAAGCACTGAAATCACAGACACTCTCCCTTAGCAAAGTAGTAAATACACGGGTGGCACTGGGACTTCAGTCCTTTCCTTCTGTTTCTTCTAGGTATGGATAAACTGGCGCAGATCATCTCCTTAGGCCAGTTCATCTACAAACAGTGTGAAGAGATGAAATACTGCCAGAAACAGTGTCTGCGTCTGGGGAGCCGTGTGCACAGCCTGCTGCAGCCTCTGAAGATGCTCCAGGACCAAGGAGAGAGGAAACTGTCCACTGAGATAATGGCCGCCCTGAACCATTTCGAAGCTGCCCTGGAGGAAGCTAAGAGGCAGATAGAAAAGTTCAGCAGTAAATCTAATATCTGGAAGTTTCTAAAGGCAGGCGGTAACAAGATACTCTTCAGGGAAGTGAATGAACAGCTGAGAGACGTCTTCGAGGAGCTCTCACTGCTACTTCAGGCTGATCAGCTTATTTTCAGGGTCAGCCAAGGAGCATCCTGGGCACAGGAAGATCAGCAGGATGCAGAGGAAGACAAACAAGTCTTCCAAAGCTTACCCCAAAAAATGGGTAAGCTGGTTTGGTTTGGTTTGGTTTGGTTTGGGGTGGGGGGTGAAATTGGAAGCATTTTAGTCACACTTTGATTTATCAAAAGGAGCAGAAAGGATGAGCCAAGTTTGAGCAGTTGTGTGTTCTTGTGGCTCAGAAATCCTAACATCCCTGGGCCCGGATATGGTGGGGGCCGGTGAGATCTGGGCAAGCCAGTGGGGGTAGGGGAGATGATGCTAATGGGTCTCCTGTGCCTCCTCGTTTTTTCTTTGATGTGATTCCTGAAATTCCAGAGGCTCCCTCCTTCCAGACTCTCTTCCAGGACTCTCAGTTAAGATATAAGTGGTCCAAAAGAAGAATTAAGTAAGAATTAACTAAGCAAACACAAATATGATACAGCATGCCCAGCCCTGTTCTAAGAATCAGGGATAGAGCACAGAGCAAAATTGACAAAATCTCTGCCCTCATGGAATGTAAAGCCTGCCAATAGAGAGCTAAGTTATTTTATCAGAATGTGATTAAAAAAAAACAAAACCATGAAATAAGCCTGGCGGGTTGGCTCATGCCTGTAATTCCAATAACTTGGGCAACTGAGACAGAAAGATGGCCAGCAAGTTCCAGGCCAGCCTGGGCAATTTAATGAGAACTTTCCTCAAAAGAAAAGATAAAAAGGGCCAGAGATAAGCAGGCAGGATGGTGCATGCCTGTAATCCAGCCACTTGGGAGGCTGAAGCAGGAGGATCATGGGCTTGAGGCTAGCTTCAGCAAAGTAGAGAGGTCCTAAGCAACTTAGTGAGACATTGTCTCAAAATAAGTGAAATAAAATTTAAAAGGTTGGGGATGTAGCTTAATGGTAAAGTGCAACCTGAGTTTAATCCCCAGTACCAAAAAACAAAAAAGAAGGGGGACCAGGTATGTAGCCCAGTGGTAAAGCACCCCTGGGTTCCATCTCCATATTGAGAGGAAAACAAAAATCCATGAATCATAAAGTGGGATAATGAGATGTAAAGTGAATATGGATGAAGAAAGAGTGGTCAGGATGATGGGATAATATTTAAATGGGCACCTTGAGTAAGGAGAAAGAACTAGTCATCAGAGATGTGGAGAAAGAGCAATTTGGGCAGAGGAAACAGCACACATAAAGATCCTGGGGTAGGAATAGATATGGCATGAGTAGCCAAATAGCTGTATGGCAAGGAAGAGCCGCAAGGCCAGATGCCTTTGATGTAGTAGGTAAGGGAGAGAAAAATAGTACCACATAAAGGTAGGGAAATAAAACAGAAAATACAGGAGCAAGGACAGGAAAGGCCATGGGGCCATGAGAAGAAATTAAATTTTATTGCAAGAGTCATAGGAAACCAGTGAATGGAAGTCCTTCAACATGGCCTGTCATGATTTGATTTGTAGTGAAAGAAAATCACTCAGGTCACCATATGGCAAATGGACAGGAAATGCCTTGAGGGTTGTATTACCCAATTACTGCAATTAATAATGCTGTACAACAAACCCCATAAAACTCAGGGCCTTCAAGAAATAGTTATGGCTGGATGCGGTGGTGCATGCCTGTAATCCCAGCAGCTCAGGAGGCTGAGGCAGGAGGATCATGAGTTCAAAGCCAGCCTCAGCAATTTATTGAGGACCCAGGCAACTCGGTGAGACCCTGTCTCAAAAGAGAATACAAAAAAAAAAAAAAGGCCGGGGATGTGGCCCAGCGGTTAAGTACCCCTGAGTTCAATTCCTGGTACAAAGAAAGAAAGAGAGAAATAGTTATGAATTCCCCCGTTTATGGGTCTGCAGATCTGTTGCATGTTTCCTGATCTCAGGTGGGCTTGGCTCTGTTTGGCCCCAGGCACCAAATCCGGTTTGGGTCTGCTTTGTGCATCTCTTTCTGGAGCCCAGGCTGAAGGAGCAGTGAGTACCTGGGAAATGTTCTTCTCATGGCAGAATTGCAAGAAGGAAACCTTAACTGGGTTAGCACATTTTAAGTTTCTACTTACATCACATCTAAAGCAATCCACATGGTCAAACCCAGCGTGGAGCTGGGGAAGTTTTCCCGCTCTGATGCTATGGCAAGGGTGTGGTATATACTACCTCACCTGGGACTGAAGAATTAGGACCTTCTCTTCTGGTCAGAACGGAAGTGTGAGCCCAGTTAGAAGCCCACATCTGAGACTTGGCAAGAGATGCCAGCAGCCTGAACTAGGGTGGCCCTAGTTGGACTTAGTGGAGGACAAGGCCCTAAGGGGATGAGACATGGACTAGGTGAGCTGTGGAGGCAGGCAGTGGAACCTGGGCCACCAGAAGAAGGAAGAGAGAGGAGGCGTGGAAATGAATGAGGCCTCGTCAGGGATCTTGCAGGATCCTGGTGACATGAATCCCTTCCCTCTGGTAAGGATTGTGTGCCGAGAAAGAGAATGAGGGAAAAAAATACGTATGGCTGAACCTTCTAGGTGCTCCATCCCAGAGGAGTAACAGTTCCACCACCTTGATATGGAGAGCGACCTGTCCCCTGTGGAGTCAGCAAGAGACACCAACCAGGACAATCCCAGAGACCTGCCACCAAAAGGCATCCTTTTCTGAAATGAGGGAAACTGGTCCCCCAGCTGAATGCCTGCAATTAGCATTAGAAGGGCAATTAGCAGCTGGGGTGGGTGCGGATGCAAGGATGGTACAGGGAGGCCGCCCTGGCTGGAGGGCGGGCATGGCTCTAGTCTTCCTAGTCATCAATGAGTGTTGATCTGCCTCCTTGTGGGATCAGGAGACAAACAGGAGTTGAGGACAGGACTTACTTCCAGCTCTTGCCTTTAAATATTTATAGTGTTATAGCTCTTGCCTTTAAATATTTTTTGTACATCCACATAGTACAAAATTCAAAAGGTACAAAAAGGACCCAACATGAGAAGTAAATCTGCCTCTCTCCATGACCTTAAGGAGCCCTGTTGGCTTCCCCCGTACACAATCTCATTATCTACCAGTTTCTTGATTAGCCTTCCAGAGATGTCGGTACACAGCATACTAAATACCCTTTCTTGATTCTTTTTTTCAATGAGTAATCTTGAATATTATTCCAGAGAGATATCCACAGAGTTCTCTAGTATACATGGACCAGGTATATTTAAGCAGCTCCCTGATTTGTTTGTGTGTGGAGATTGAACCCAGGAGTGCTTTACCACTAAGCTACATCCCCAGGCCTTTTTTTATTTTTTATTTTGAGACATGTTTTCACTAAATTGCTTAGAGCTTTGCTAAGTTGCCCAGGCTGGCTTTAAACTGGCAATCCTCCTGCCTCAGCCTCCCAAATTGCTGGAAGTACAGGTGTGCCCCATGGTACCTGGCAGCAGCTTCCTTGATAGACATGTAAATTGTGTTCAATTCTTCACTATTATAAATAGTCTTGCAATGATCATCTTTGTATATATTTTAGAAGAACTTTAGGAGATACTCCCTTTAGTGAAATTACTAGATCTCTTTGCTAGGTCAAAAGCTATAGGCATTTTTAATATTTTTATTTATTTATTTGTGTGTGTGTGTGTGTGTGTGTATGTGGTGCTGGGGATTGAACCCAAGGCCTTGGGCATGCAAAGCTAGCATTCTACCAACTGAGCTTTGTCCCCAGCTTGGCACTCCCTGATTTGTGTGTTTGTGTGTGTGTTTTGATAGAGGCTGCTAGATTATCCTCTGCAGAGGTTAGACAAATGTCACTCCTACCAACAATGGATGAGATTGTCTCTTTTTCCATAGTTTATATGAGTATATACTTTAGGATAGATTAGGTTATGCAACTCAGTATCTTACAGAAACAAGTCTATTCCTCTTTCTCAGGCAGAGTCCTTAAGACCTTCCAAGGTGACTTTCTTCTTTGGGCCTGCTTTTAGCAACAGGCACTGACTTGCCACTCCCAGAGCAGCCAGGGAGGAACCTCCTCAGACTCCACGACATCCTTCCCCTGGGAGGTGACACAGGTCTCTCTCACTTCCTTTTTTGGCCACAGCCAGACCTCAGGGCACTTCCTGAGTTCCTTGAAGTAGAAAGCTGAATATTGGTGAGCAGTAGTATTTCCTACCACAATGACTATGATACGTAACTATCTTGATGGTTTTATGGCATATTGGTTTTGAGTAGCATGTTTTTCTTTTTATAATTAGAACTTGTATTGTTGAATGTTTGTTGCAGAAAATGAAAACATTAAAGCTTCACTGAGGAGGTTGGAAATCAACATGAAGGAAATCAAGGAAACCTTACGGCAGTGTAAGTTGTCAGGAGCCCTGTTACAACCAGCTGTTCCCAAACTAGAAGCCACCTGTCTACTAGAAACTCCAGCCTCCTCCTGCCCCTGCCCTGCTCCGTTTTCTGTGCTGCGTGGCTGGAAGCAGCCCACAGGTTTGGGGGTATGGCCACAGGGAGCATAGCTTTCTGTCCATTTGGGTTCTTCCTGACCAGCAAGAAACCTCCCAGTTCCTGTCCAAATGCTCAAAATTCCCTCTGTGAATAGTTATGTATCTTAATCAACTACTTATTACTGAAACACGTACCTGAGGTGATCAACTTGTAGAGAGAAGGTTCATTTTGGCTCACAGTTTCATGGTCAATTTGGCCCCGTTGTTTTTGAGCAAGGCAGTACATCCTGGTGGGAACATGTGGCAGAGAAAAATCTTTCACCTCATGGTTAAGAAGAAAAAGAAAGAGGAAGAAACCAAGGTCCCACAATAACCTCCTAAAGTTTCTACCTCCCAAAACCACCACCCTGGGGACCAAGCCTTTAACACATGGGTCTTTGGGGGACATTCCAGGTCCAAACTATAGCAGCCTTAAAGCTTCAATTCATTTGCTGAATGTCCAACAAGAAATTAAAGTCAAATTTGAAATTCTCATTCATTCATTCATTCATTCATTCATTCAATAAAACAGTGAGAATCTGCTTCATGCCAGAGGCTGTGCACAGCTCAGATGTGGTGAAAGAAATTGCCTTCAGGAAGCTCATTGCTTAGGAGGAGGGTAGAGGAAAGAGACTGTGAACACATGACAGCAGTGTAGTTACTGAGCTTGAACTGTGTCTCTAGTTATTAGGTCAGAAATGATTAGTCAATGATGCCAGGTACCCCAGTGTCAAGCTGTACGTCAATAGGAGGAGGGAAAACTCTGAGACGGGAGAGACAGGAGTTAAGGCTGGAAAGACAGGCAGGATGGAAGAGGAGGGCAAGAAAGTACTGGAAGGGGCCCTCCTCCTTCCCCTCCACCAGCTCAGAGGCAGATACCCCTGTGTGAAATCAATCCACGGTGCCAGCCAGAGCTGGCTCTGGTGTAGAGCTTCCCACTCATGTCCCCACTGTGCCACTTCCCTTAGGATACCTTCCTTAACTTACTGGCTCTGTATCTCCTGTCTCAGTGCTGGGCTCAGACTCATCAAAACCCATGCAGAAGATCCCACAGGACCAAGTCAAGGAGATTAAGAAGGAACAGCTTTTAGGATCCCCATGGATCCTGCTGAGGGAAGACGAATTCAGCACACTCTATAAAGGAGAGTATCATAGGTCTCCAGTGGCCATAAAAGTATTCAACAAACCCCAGGCCAGAAGCATTGGGTAAGTCATTTTTTATGATTCTCTTCTATGTATCAGTACTTATTCTCATTAATTCACCAAGAGGTGTATTGGTCCCATCTCTAGATGGGAAAATGGGACCCAAAAAGGTAAAATGACTGCCCTCTACTATTAAAGAACAGAGTCTAGACATAGCTCCATGGCCACCACAATTTTACCTATAAATCAATTTTATTTGTGGATTTATGTATTTTTTAAACTTTGTTTCCTCTCAGTCCTTTTTTTTCATTTCTCCATCCCCTCCACAGACAATAATTCCAGTGTTTTATTTGTATGTGTTCTTGTAAATGTATGCTTTTATTATTACGTGTATGCATTTATAACTTTTATAAATTGTAGTGTAATAGGTCTGTTGCCTACTTTTCTGAATTTGTTCACTCAGTGTCATGGTACATGGAGTCCTGTCATACTGACTGCTCTTCATGGTATCAATTCACATTTTGACTATTTTTATTCTTAGGTGGGCACAATATCTTTATTTTATTTTTATGTGATGCTGAGGATCGAACCCAGTGCCTCACGTGTGCTAGGTCAGCACTCTACCACTTGAGCCACAATCCCAGTCCTTGAGTATTTTATTTCATAAATTAAAATTTTAACTAGAAAAAAGCTTTATTTTCATTTGGTCCAAGTCCTGGGAGCCCTCCTCCTTCCCCTCCTCCTCCTCCTCCTCCTCCTGTATTAGATATTGAATCCAGGGGTGCTCTACCACAAAGCTACATCCCCCAGCCCTTTTTATTTTTTTCTTTTGAGACAAGGTCTCACTAAGTTGCCCAGGCTGGCCTCACACTTGCAATCCTCCTGCCTCAGTCTCCTAAGTTGCCAGGTTTACAGGTTTGTGCCATCATTTCCAGCAAAAATATTTAATTTTGATGACATCCACTATATCAATATTGTCTTGTATAGTTTATATTTTCCATGTCACTCCTAAGAAATTATTGAGTGACTTAAGATCACAAAGATTTACTCTGTTTTCTTCTAAGAATTGTATAGTTTGAGATCTTACCTTTAAGTCCAGGATATATTTCAAGTTAATTTTGATGAATTGTGTGGGGGTAGTCATTCAACTTAATTCTTCTGTATGTGAATATCCTTTGTCCCAGGACCATTTTGTGAAAAGACTGTTCTCTATTGAATGGTCTTGGCACCCTTGTCAAAAATCAGTTGACGGGGCTGGGGTTGTGGCTCAGTGGTAGAGCACCTGCCTAGCATGTATGAGGCAGGGTTCAATCCTCAGCTCATAAAAATGTATAAATAAAGAAATAAAGATACAGTGTCCATCTACAACTAAAAACACATTTTTAAAAAAAAGCAATTGATCACTGGGGTGGGTGTAGCTCAGTGGTAGAGCTTGCCTAGCACACTGGATGCTCTGGGTTCAATTCCCAGTACCACGAAACAAAGCAGTTAGCCATAAACTTATGAGTTTATATTTGGATTCTCCATTCCATTCCATTGATTTAAATGTGTGTCCTTATGCTAAAATGGCACTGTCTTGATTACCATAGATTTATAGTAAGTTTTGAAATTGAGAAGTATGAATCCTCCAACTTTGTTCTTTTCAAGATTGTCTTGACTCTTACGGGTTCTTTGCATTTCCATCTGAATTTTAGGATCAGCTTGTCAGTCTGACAAGGCATGGTGGTGCACACCTGATCCCAGCAACTTGGGAGGCTAAGGCAGGAGGATCACAAGTTCAAGAACAGCCTGAGCAACTTAGCAAGTTGCTCAAAATAAAGAAAAAAAATGGTCTGGAAATGTAGCTCAACTGCAAAGCACCCCTGAGTTAAAAAAAAAATTAACTGGGATTTTTTATAGGCATTATATTAAATCTATAGATCAATTTGATATTATTAAATTTTCTGAACCATGAACATGAAAAAAAAGATTATCTTACCAACTTATTTTATCAAAAGAAAAAGAAAAAAAATGAGGAATTTCATTTTACCTGGAGGTCAATTTGCAGACTGTCACCATCTTAGTCATACTAAATCTTCCCATCCAAGAACATGGTATGTCTTTCCATTTATTTAGATCTTTTTAAATTTCTTTGAACATTGTTTTAAATATAAAGATTTCAGGCTACAAGACTTGGACTTCTTTTATTAATTATTCTTAAGTATTTTATTCTCTTTATACTATTTTAAATAAAATTGTTTTTTTAAATTTCATTTTCAGATTGTTTATTGCTAGCACATGGAAATACAACTGATTTTTGTAGGCTTTGGACCTTCCCTACACCTCTGGGTTCAATCCTCAGTAAAAGAAAAAAACAAAAACAAAAATAAAACCCTTATCATCTTAGTTTGCCCAGTAAAACCTTATTGGTCATAAAAATACAATTGTGCCAGACTGTTTGAAGTGCCAGTTAGCAAGTCCCCTTATTCTGTTCACAGGCACTGTAGGGACTAATTCTGCTGCCAAGTTCCTCCAAGTACTACATGCTGCCATCAGAACTGAGCTGATTACAACACACTTTTTTCCTGTAATGCGGGGTGTTATAACCCCAAAGGGATGCTGATGATACCTCACCCCCACCCCACATGCACACTATATTTATGCTCTTCAAGTGGGCCTCCAGTTCTGAAACCCTCATTTCCCTTTTCACTCTCATAGATCGGTGAGGCATACCTTCAATAATGAGATCAGAACAATGAAGAAATTTGATTCCCCCAACATCCTGCGTATATTTGGGATTTGCATTGATGAAACAGGTAAGCAGGTTTCTGGTCAGGAGGTTTGAGGGCCTGGATTGTACCTCCTGTGTTATAATGTGTTGCATTTTTTAAGAATAGCTGAGAGGGTGGGATCTACACCATGTGGTTATTTTCAATGCCAATTGTGGGGGATCTCAAGATGCATGCTCCCATCTTCTTTCAGGAGAGCAGGGCTTTAGCCGGAGTATTGGTTTGTGTTATGTGCCCTCGTCTCCTCTTGCCAGTCCACTAGGAACACAAAGGGTGCTTGTTCAGCTGCTGGCCTTGGTGATGGGTATATTTTGTTGCTATAAAACATTACAAATTTGGGGCTGGGGTTGTGGCTCAGTGGTAGAGAGTTCACCTAGCATGTGTGAGGTCCTGGGTTTAATTCTTAGCACCACATAAAAATAAGTAAATAAAATAAAGGTATTGTGTCCATCTACAACTAAAAATATTTTTTTAAAAAGAACTATTTTTTAAAAAATAAATAAATATATTTTATGTTTAGATTAACAGGCACCATCTTGAGAACAGGAAAGGTTTTTTTAAAAAACCAATAAATAAATTACATTCAAGAAGAAAAGGTGGGGCTGGGTTTGTGGCTCAGTGGTAGAGTGCTAACCTAGCATATATAAGGCACAGGGTTGGATACTCAGCACCACATAAAAATAAATTAAAAAAAAAAAAAGGTATTGTGTCCAACTACAACTAAAAATATATATTTTAAAAAAGAGGTGTTTATATCTGAAGTATGATATATCCTTAAATGTTTTTTCTCATATAGCACTTAAACTTCCAAACTGCCTGGAAAATATCTTCTAAAATATAACTCATACTTTAAGTCATAAAAATAATGGCCAAGAAAAAAAAATCAATTTAAGACAAAATTTATAGTTTATGTTCTTAATACCCTTCAGTAAAAGAAAGAAACATAAATTAAAAATACCTTGTTATCTTAGTCTGCCCAGTCATAATCATCAATAATGAGATCAGAAAATAAAAATAATATAAATAAAACATAAATATAAATTAAAGTATCAATTGCCAATTTATTAAAAGTAAATGAACTATATATATGCACTCTGTAGGTGCTGAAAATCTGAAATATATATATATATATATTTAAAAGTCACTCTTGGGAGACAAAGATCTGGAGGAGGAGGACTCCTGATCAGGGTCGGCACTCGCCCTGGCTTGCCTTGCCTCTGGCCAAGCCCTGGCGCGAGGGAGAAGACCCACCTGATCCAGAAGGCCAAGCTGGCCAGGCGCCACCTGCATAAAGGCTGTGACCCGGCAGGGCGCCAAGCTGTCCAAGCAGGAGCACAACCTGCTCGGTGGCCTACAAGAACGTGGTGGGGGCTGCAGGTACGCCTGGGGGGGTTATCTGGAGCATTGAGCAGAAAACCTACATTTTCAACAAGAAGTTGCTGCTGATTAAGGACTATTTGGAGAAAGTAGAGTCAGAGCTGAGTTCTGTAGGCACCACGGTCCTGGAATTGTTGGATAAGAATTTAATAGCAATGCCACCAATGCAGAGAGTAAGGTCTAAAATCTGAAAATGAAGGGCGATTACTTTCAGGTACCTTGCTGAACTTGGTGACAATCGGAAACAAACTATGGGTAATTCCCAAGGAGCTTACCAAGAGGCATTTGATATAAACGAGAAAAAAGAGATGCAACCCACACCCCCATCCATCTGGGGATGGCTCTTAACTTTTCTGTAATTTACTATGAGATCCTTAATAACCCAGAGCTTGCCAGCACCCTGGCTAAAACGGCTTTTGATGAGTCCACTGCAGAACTGGATATACTGAATGAAGACTCCTGCAAGGACAGCACCCTTCATGCAGTTGCTTAGAGACAACTTAAGCATTGTGGACACGAGACAGTGCAAGAGAAGAATGTGATGCAGCAGAAGGGGCTGAAAACTAAATGCAAATAGGGTGTCAACCTTCTTTCCTCAAAAAACCTTTTTACACATCTCCATTCCTTATTCCAGTTGGATTTCCTATAGCAAAGTAACCCATTCATGTTTATAGTCTTTTTACACTGCAGCTTTGGGAAGACCTCATTCCTTGATTTGCATTTGTCTTGGCCTTCCTGGTATGCAGTTACTGCTATAGAAAAGTATTAATAGCTTCATTTCATATAAACATAAGTAAATTTGTAGTTCTGGTATTCCCTTTACTATGTAATAGAAGTAGTCTATTGCTACCAGAATACAAGCATTGCTTTTTAAAAAAAATACTTTTAGTTGTATATGGACACAAAACCTTTATTTTATTTATTTACTTTTATGTGGTGCTGAAGTTCAAACCCAATGCCTCACATGTGCTAGGTAAATGCTCTAGTACTGAGCCACAACCCCACAAGGATTGCTTTTGGCAAATGAAAGTGCATGTCATTTCTTATACACTAGAAAGGGGAAATAAAACTACACAAGTCCAAGTCTAAAACTTTAGTCCTTTCCCATCCAGATTTGTGCACATGTGAGAGGGTACCCAGTTTGTCTGGTTATTGTTCTTTAGAGAGTTGAACCACTGTTGTGTGTTGCTAATAATTGACTATAGTCCCAAAAAAGCCCTGTGAAAATGTTATGCCCTCTGTAATCACAGGGTAACATAAGATAAAATTACATTTTATAAAACAAAATAAATAAACTCACTCTTTCTAACAGTATCTAAAATAATTGCATCTTTGGTGACACACCTGAAAACTATCAAGCATTTTATTTCCCTGGTTTTCATATTCCAGCAGTTAGTTCTACCCCTTTTTATCCATTTAACATTCATCCAGTACTTGTTTGATTTTGATTTGTAAATATACTTAGTTATATGCCAACACAAAACACTGACAATACTCCTTGGTAAACAAGGAAATCCCCAAATAGTCCAAGCCTTTGTTCCCAAAGCGGGGCACAGGTAAATGATAGATAGAAAGAAAGAAAAAAAAATCAATGGCCCTTATTGATGCAGTCAGAATGCTCCTGAGAGTCCACAACTGTTTAAGAATTTGCTAATGAAATCCTGAAGAAAGTTGCAACAGATTGCTCAGATAAGTATCAGAGAATAAGTCTTTGATAATCTATTTATTGCCAAGATAACTGAAAACACAAAAGCCTTTTCATTAGATGTCAATTTCCTTTTCCTATTTCTCTGTTTCTTCCTCATGTTTTTTGGAAATGCACTTTTTAGGTCTTTCTCTTCCTCATCTGATATGATCTGAATGACTATTACTTTGAGACCCCTTTCTGTTTTCTAAATCTTTATTTACTGTAGAATTTATCTTCTCTTAATTCTGTTTGCCTCTTCTTGGCTTCCTGCTTGTTTTCTGTAGAAGGTGGTGATTTCTCTTGAGTGCTCTGTATTTAAAAGTTTGCTACTAATAAATATGTAACCACATTATTATAATAGGAAGCTGTGGGTTGCACTTGGGGCATGGTTTCATGGCCATCTTCACTTTCTTGGCTCTTAACTGCAGACATGTCCCTCACTTTGGCAGTGGTGGCTTGGGCTCCTCCCCTAGTACCTCAACAGCCAGGCCTCCGCCCACCCCATCCCCACTCTCCACGTTCTTTATTTTTTAACGTGGCTGCAATTCCCATTTCATCCCTTCTGGAAGTTTCTCCACATCCTCAGGCCAACCTGATTTCAAAACTGAATCCCAATGTGAAGAGTTTCAGTGATGCTTATTCCCCTGGGTGATGGCTGAGGTGACAGATTCACCCATTGTGTGGGGACTCTGGCATCTCCAGCCTAGGACCAGAGACCTAGACTTCTTGTCTTGGTGCCCCTCTCCAGCCCCTTGCACCTGTGCATTATTTCTTCTACACATTCATACTAAGTGCCATGTGAACAAAACATATATTTCCAGCCTCCTTGTGGCTTCCAGTTGGCTGGGGAAGACATATCTCAAATGACTACTCAAATGTAAAATTATGACTTCCCAGACACTATGAAGAAGAGCGAATTCTGGAGGTATCTGACTCATAGGTCAGAGAGCAAAGTATGCAAAGTTGGGAGAGAAATGGGGCTCACAGCAGATTTGTGTCTTGATGCAGAGAAGCAGGAGCTCTGGACCTTCACAGTGTCTGGTTCCTCTCCTTTAGTGAGTCCACCTCAATTCTCCATCGTCACGGAGTACTGTGAACTAGGGACCCTGAGGGAGCTGTTGGATAAAGAGAAGGACCTCACCTTTGGTGTACGCATCTTCCTAGTCCTGGGGGCAGCCAAAGGCTTGTACAGGTACTCAGGGTGAGAGGGGGTGAGAGGGTGTAAATACACTTACTTTTTGAAAAATCTAAATAAACTGAGTGTGGCATTGCTCACCTGTAATCCCAGCAATTTAGGAGGCTGAGGCAGGAGAATCAAGTTCGAGGCCAGCCTGGGCAACCTAGTGAAACCGTGTCTCAAAAAGGGTTGGGGATGTAGCTTAGCAGTAGAGCACACCTGGGTTCAATCCCCAGTACAACAAAACAAAACAAAGTAAAGACATCAAAATTTTAAAAACAACACTTTCTATCACTACCATAAATCAAAAGCCAGGATCACTTGCCACAAGTTAGTGACCACAAATGAAACCGAAGGCTGTAATTAAATTCTGGATGGATGAGGCTGGCTGCTACAAGCTCTATGATACAGACCCACATCCTCTGTCCAAAGGAGATTGCAGCTGACTTAGAGAGGGGTTAAGGACACCCAGAACCAAACTGAAACCGTTTCCTTGGTGTAATTAGAGTGTAAATAATTGAAAGAAAGAAAATTTTCTCCCCATGTAATCTTGCATGCCCCTATATCCCATACTTTGGAAATACTGTCTTAGCTATTTATTTTAAATCAGTTTTTTTCCCTCAACTCCCAAAACCTAGTGGGTTTTATGCAAGGGAATTTGTGACACTGTTAGTGTCACATCCAAATGCTTTCTGATCTTCTTTGCCAGCTCTGTAGTTCTGTTCTGTATTTATCATGCTTTGCTGCTAAAAGCCCAAGGCTGCTACAGTTATCTGTAGGCACTGGAGTCCATTCACCCTTGTATGTGTGTAGTGCTGAGGATTGAACCCAAGGTCTTACACATGTTAGGCAAATGCTCTACCACTAAGCTACTCCCCAGACTTTTTTTCTTGTGACAGGATCTTGCTAAGATGCTGAGACTGACCTCAAACCTACAATTCTCCTCCCTCAGCCTCCTAAATCACTGGGATTGTAGGTGTGTACCACTGCACCCAGCTCCCTTCACTCTTGTGGATGACTGAAAGTGCCCAGAAGTTTGATAGCCAGCCATCCCAATCCATAGCTATTGACTGACTGGCGTGACTACGAAGTTCCAGCTCCTTTGCCTCCTGTGGGACAAATCCTGAGGCATAATTATGATCAGATTGAGCTGTGGATGCACCTGAAATCATACAATTTTGCTTGATTTCTTCTTCCCTGTCCTGCTTCCTCCACCCACTCACCAGTTTCTCCTGGGAGCCACTTGTCCTCAAATCCTTGGCTCCTAACGTACTTCTTCGAGAACCTGATCTAAGACAGACACTATGACATCTGCCCAGCTGGAACACAGGGGTTCTGTGAATCCAAAGCATTTGTCTATAAGTTGGTGGGAACCCTAGCTTCATAATCTGTCATAACCACAAGGGTCCCTGGCCTGGTGCAGCCATCTAGTCCTACCTCTGAGTGCTTTGATCTTCCCAGTACCCCCAGCAAAGTATCACAGAGCCTCCTTCATCCTTCTCTACCTAAAGTGACCCTGGTGCCAGAGTGCACACACTCCACAGAGCTGTTTACACCTGCCTGTCCAATGCATTCCAGCTCTGCTGTGTACTCACAGCATACATTGTCAAATCTCACCTCTGCATCCGAGTTCTCTGGGCTATCCACTGATTTTTACCAGTGAGGAAGGCATGGTACTGGACAGCCTTGTTATCTCAGTAATGACTGTCTCTGCAACGGCCATTAATGCTCCCTGCCTTTGGTTGTCTCAGGCTACACCATTCGGAAGCACCTGAACTCCATAGCAATATCAGCAGCTCGAGTTTCCTGGTAACTGAGGGCTATCAAGTGAAGGTGAGCACACCCTTCATGGGCTCTTTGAATGAGTCAAACCTGCATGTCTGATATTAGGAGAGGATTGCAAATGTTTCAGGAAGGTTGTACTGCTTGTTTCTCTCCTCAATTTTGTTTATGTATGTATCTGTTTGTTTATTTACTTATTTATTGCAGTGCTGGGGATTGAATCCAGGGCCTCATGTATGTTAGGCTGCCTCCTTAATTTATTTAATTTAATTAATTAATCTATTTATTTTGGCACTAGGGATTGAACCCAGGGGTGCTTAACCACTGAATCACATCCACAGCTCTTTTTGTTTTTTTTATTTTGAAACAGGGTCTTGCTAAGTTGCTCAGGGCCTTGCTAAGTTACTGAGGCAGGCTTCAAAGTTGCAATCCTCCTGCCTCATCCTCCTGAGTCACTGAAATTAAGGAATGTGCCACCACACTGGACTTATTTTATTTTTTAACAATGTAGATCATGGATTTTATTTTATTTTTCCTGTGTGTGTGTGTGTGTGTGTGTGTGTGTGTGTGTGTGGTGCTGGGGATTGAACCCAGAGCCTTATGAATGTGAGGCAAGCACTCCACCAACTGAGCTATAGCCCCAGCACTCTCATATTTTTATTGGTGCTTTATAATTAAATGTAATAGCAAGATTCATTGTAACATATTCATATATGTACATTCTCCCTTTAATTTTAGAAAGAGAGCTCAAATCCCCCTGGCAGCACAGCTTTCTGTGTGGCCACTGCAGAACAGATGCAACTATTACTTCCTGTTCTGATGCTTGCTTTACCTCACCACCCACTTAGCAGGGATAGACCAAGGGTCATTTCTCCTTAGATGCCTAGATACCACCACTTCTTTGTCCCTACAACACCCACAAGGGAACCTTCTTGGGTTCAACTAGTCTAGACTCACAGGACTCTCATGGGTCACACTTGGCATTCAGTTTGGCATTTGCCATTTGGCATTCAGTTTGCCAGCAATTCTTTCTTGTGGAAGTCCCCACCCCAGGGGTCCGGGAGATATTGACTTTGTCTTGTTGATTATGTGGCTATCTGGGCCTAGAATTCCATAATGTTAAGGAGTCAATATCTCTTAAAATAATTCTGCAGACAAACCTTCCAAGGTCCCCTCAGTGGACAAGCCAGTTCCCAGTTATAAGAATTGCTACAAAGCACAACATACCTATCAACTATTTATAGTTCTCTTACCCACTAACAAATATCCAGAATTGTCACTCAGCAATCTTTTTTATCATCACAATGTTTTTTATCATCAGGAGCATAAGTGACAATCTACCTTTATCAGGTTTTCAGGGGAACAGAGCTAAAAAGTTAACTGAAAATCCACCATGGTAGATTTTACTCAGAGAAGGAAAGGATTTTGTTGACTCATTGTCTACAATTCCCAAATGTTAAAAGAATATTTTATTTGTCATCCATGGGTGGTCATCTTTCTTTGAGTCTTATGAGTGCAAGGGACAGCCCTGAATTAATAGAAGACAAGTCCCTTCTGCCTTTCACATACCTTTCTTCTTCCCAAAGCACTGTGTCCCACACTCTCATGGTCCTCATCCTGCCTGACTGTAACACATGCTATTCAGCCTTTCACCTCTGGTATCCAGCATGGGGCTGGATGTCAGATGACATCATGCTTAGCAAACATGTGAGCAAGTCTGTGTGTCTTATCCTTTTCCTGGCCTTGCCTGTAGATTTGAATACATGGCTGACTTTGGAACTGGCAGCCTTCCGCACACCGATGGTGCTAATGGCAGGTGTGCATAGAACAAAAACATACACTCCCATTAATTGTGCTGTGGCTTCTTTAAGAATACCACATGACCATACAGGGTCAAAGAAGATAAATCACTCTTGTCATATAAAAATCCAATGGGACAGGCTGACCACCCTATGTGGGCAGATAGAACAGAGGGGGTTTCCCCCGTCATTTTTTTTATCTGTTTCTGGGAGAAAGCAAACCATGTGGTAGTTCCATGCACCCCCCACCCCCATATCCTCATTGAAACTGAGTCCTTAGCTGAGAAGGTCCTGTATATAACATTGTTTTATTAGCAACAGCTTTAACTTACCAAGTCTTACAGGTGCTTTATAACCATCACCTCAAGTAATCTTCACTGCCATCATGCTCATATTATAGAAAAGAAATCTCTACATGCTTTTCTTGGTTCCTGCATTATGATAAACTCAACTTTGATGCTAGCCAATATAGTAGCCATACAGTCAGAAGATACCATTGGAAATAAATCCCTCAAGGAGAAACCATTCCCCAATAATCAAGTGTCACACCAACCCCCTACCCTGTACCCTCCGTCCAAGATCTTGCTGTTTCTCTCTGTCTTTAATACATCTCTCTAGCTTGCAGGATTTGAATTGAGTAAAACACAGACTTCCATCAGTCGGGAAACTAAAGGGAATAAAGCAGAGAGAGTCAATTCTACAGCTTATGTCTCACCTCAGGGACTGGAAAATGTGTTCCATAAATATGACATCAAAGCTGAAATATACAGGTATGTGCACATTCTCCTGCAGATTCTAACTCAGATTAACAGAACAAGCAAAGTCCAAGTTGAACTCCTCTGAGGACTACCTTATTGATAGTCCTCAGAGGAGTTGGGTGGTAATCAGAAAATTCACTTAGTTTCCTGAAAATGGCTAAAGGGGCATGGGAAAAGGAACTTAGGGTGTTTCTTGGTTTTCTTTTAGCTTTGGAATCATCCTCTGGGAAATTGCCACGGGGAAGATCCCATTTGAAGGTGAGGAACATGAAGGCTGACTCTGCTGGTGTTGGAATTGGGTCCCCTTACAGTGAACTAGAAATTCCCCCTCAGGCGCTCCCAAGAATTATTTTCTCCACTGGGGAACTGCCCGGGCTGGTCAGTGGAAGCTCTTGTTTTTTACATACTTGAAGTTCCTGCTTCTGATGCCAGCTACCTGCATCCAGAGAGATATGGGTATGAGTGCCAAAACAATTTTTTAATTTTTTAAGCCTCTATAATTTCCATTCCAGGCCACAACTCTAAGATGATTCACCAGCAGGTGGTTGTGGACCGGCAGCAGGAGCCACTGGGTGAAGACTGCCCTTTAGAGCTGCAGGAGATCATTGATGAGTGCAGGGCCTATGAGCCTTCCAAGAGGCCCTCTGTTAATGGTAGGGTTCTTTCTGGTGTAAAGAGCATAAGCCACATGCTTCACATTTGTGAAAGATTTCATTTTCACAAACTCCACCAGGGGACATTTGACAATGTCTGAGGCATTTTTAGTAGTCGCAACTCAGGGGAGGTAGAGTGGAGTGTGCTGTGGCATCTAGATAGAAGTTAATCCAGAAAGAGAACTTGCTATCACAAAGGCTTGGGTGCAGATGAGAGTTCCTGCTCCAGCCAGACCAGGGGTATGCAGTTTCTACACTACTGTGCAGTGTAGACATAATATCTGTGTTTCTAGCTTGGCTCTGAGTTCTCTGCTTTGGTCTGACTTTCTGTTCATTCATTTACAGGAATCTTAGAGAAACTGTCTACCTTTACTTAGTTGTATCAGAAACCTAAACCAAGGAGTCTCTGGACAAGAAGCACAAACTGGACATGTCTCTCTCTCATATCCTTTGGCATCAAGCTACTATGGGTGCAAGGAGGCAGTACTTCTCTATTACAAATAGAAACTATTTGTAATTCCAGTCATACAGAGCACATCCTGCTCCCAGTGGTTTTTCCAAAAATATGCTTCTGACTGTACCTGTAGATGATCTGCAAAACTTGATAGATGATTTTCTGCCTATGCCTCTTGACAATGGGACTTTGCAGCTCCTTTCATTGAGAACTGGAAATCTGTTCTGTCTGAATCCGGGATGTCACTGTGACTTGATTCACTCAATAGAATGTGGAAGAGGTGACAGTATGCAAGTTCCAAAATTAGGCTTCAAGAGGCCTTACAAGTGCTCACTCCCTTTCTTGGAACCCTACTCAGCCATGAAATTGGGTTAGCAAGCTGGATAATGGGCAACCACATGGAGCACAGACAAGCTGTCCCTGCTAAGATCATATTAAACCAGCCTGGCAACTGACCCAGTTATATGAGTGAGCCCAGGCAAGACCAAAACCACCCAGCTGAGCCCAACCCAGATTTACCATTGACAAAATCATGAGCTAAATAAATTTTTTATTTCTTAAACCACTAAATTTGGGGTGCTTTGTTACATAACAGTAGTAACTGAAAAAATACCATTCAGCCCTTCCTCTTGCCCACTGATCTAAATACCTACTCCTCCTTTAGAAACTTATGGCCTTGTATCTCTGACCCCAACCTGACTTCCTACATCAGGTCCCAGAACTCTCCTGCTAGAGATTACAAACCCTAATGGCTAGAGGACCTGTGAGGGAAACTGGAGGGGCCTTAGTGCCCAGATGAACTTGAACAATAGACTCTGCTCAGCTCCAGGCTATTTTTTTATCATATAAGAATTGGATCTCTCTATTTCCAGAACTTTCTATTTTCTCAAAAGAAGCTGGATATTTGCATTTTTCTCCGAATTGTCACTTTTTCCTCCTCTGTACTAGAGATTGAACCCAGGGGCACTTAACCACTGAACTCCATCCCAACCCCCCTTTTTTCTTCTGCACTCCCGCCAAGCCCTTTTTCTTTTATATTTTGAAACAGGATTTTGCTAAATTGATTAAGGCCTCGCTAAAGTGCTGAGTCTGGCTTCGAACGTTTGATCCTTCTGCCTTGGCCTCCTGAGTTGCTGGGATTACAGGCATGCACCAATATGCCCAGCTTGTTTTTATTTTGAGACAGGATATCACTGATTGACCAGGCTGATCTCAAACTTGTGATTCTCCTGCCTCAACCTCCCAAATACCTGGGATTACAGATGATAGTAACCATACCAAGCTGATTTTATTATCTTTTATTTTATTTTGTGTGTGGTACTGGGGATTCAACCCAGGGGCATTTAACCACTGAGCCATATTCCCAGCCCTTTTTTATATTCTATTTAGAGACAGGGTCTCACTGTGTTGCTTAGGTCTTGTTAATTTGCTTGTTAATTTGCTGACTTTGAACTCGAGATCCCCAACTTTAGCCTCCCAAACCCCTGGGATTATAGGAGTAGCCTAAGCTGATTTTAATAGCGTTTTAGGGCTAGAAATGTGGCCCAGTGGTAGAGCGCTTGCCTGGCTGTTGGAGGCCCTGGGTACTATCCCCAGCACCACATGCACACACACAAATTATGGCACAGTTGTTATTTTTTTTTAAAGGGGTGGGGTTGTGGCTCAGTGGTAGAGCACTTGCCCAGCACATGTGAGGCCCTGGGTTCAATCCTCAGCACCACACAAAAATAAATAAATAAAATAAAGGTATTGTGTCCATCTATAACTAAAAAATATTTTTTTTAAAAAGATACTAAAAACACCAACCACAGTATGGAAACACCTAAAATTACCTTGTAATTGACACATGGTAAATTATGAGTATTTAAAAACAGTTTGATAACTCTACCATATTTTATATCCATGAAACTACTACTTCATCAGGATAATGAACATGAGATAATGGGGATTGAAATAAGATTCCTTCCATGTATGATTTTGTCAAACTGAACCCAACTACTATGTATAACTATAATACTCCAATTTTTAAAAAAGATAATGAATATATCCTTCAACTTCTAAAGTTTTATCGTGCCTCTTTACAATCACTCTCTCTTCTCCCCTTACCTTAAAATATGGGCAAAATAGGAAACCATTGATTTGCTTCCTGTCACTATAGATTAGTTTGCATTTTAAGTTTGGTATAAATGGAATCATATGGTATATAAAACATTTGCATTCTTTCAATCAAAACAATTACTTTCAATTTATCCATGTCTGTCGCATGTTTTGATAATTCATTTATTTTCAGTATTGAAAACTATTCCAAAGTGTGGATATAACACAATTTATCCATTCACCTATTGATGAACATTTGAGTTGTTCATAATTTTTGACTGTTGCAAATAGGGCTACTATGAACTTTCATGTATAAATTTTTGTATAAATCTGTGCTTTCATTTCTTTTGGGTAAGTACCTAGAGACCCAGTGGCTGAATCATATGGTAGGTGTACATTTAACTTTTTAAGAAACTAAGCCCAGCTTGATGGAGCACGACCTGTAATCTCAGCAATTTAAGAGACTGAGACGGGAGGATCACAAGTTCCGAGCCAACCTCAAAAACTTAGTGAGACCCTGTCTTTAAATAAAAAATAAAAAGGACTGGGTTTGTAGCTCACTGGTAGAGCAGCCTGGGTTCAATCCCCAGTACTGTGGAAAAAACAAACTATAAAATTGTTTTCCAAAGAAGTTCTGCTATTTCCCCTTTCCATTACTAGTATATAAGAGTTCCCGTTTCTCTATACCCTTGCCAATATTTGGTACGGTCAGCCTTTTAAATTTTGGCTGTTGGCCAGATGTGGTGGCACATGTTTGTTATCCCAGAAACTCAAGAGGCTGAGGCAGGGGCTGGGGTTGTGGTTCAGCGGTAGAGAGCTAGTCTCGCACGTGCGAGACCCTGGGTTCGATCCTTGGCACCACATACAAAAATAAACAAGTGAAATAAAGGTGTTTAAAAAAAAAATATATATATATATATATATATATATAGAGAGAGAGAGAGAGAGAGAGAGAGAGAGACACAGAGAGGCTGAGGCAGAAGGATCACAAGTCAAAGGCCAGCCTCAACAACTTATCAAGACCCTGTCTCAAATTTTTTAAAAATGAAAAGAGGCTGGGGGTGGAGCTCAGTGGTAGAGCACCGTTGGGTTCAATCTTTAGTATTAAAATGAAACAAAACAAAATAAAATAAAATTTGGTCACTGTAATAGTTCTGTAGTGACTGGTATCTTACTGTGACTTTAGCTTTTTTCCTAGTGACTAAAGGTCATGAGCATCTTTTCATTTAACTTACCATCTATACTTTTTCTTTGTTGAAGTGTCTGTTCACATATTTTGCCCATATTTTAAGTTAGATTGTTTTATTTTACTAGTCATGGAGTTTTAAGAGTTCTCTATATAAGTTCTTTATAAGGTAAATGATTTGCAAATATTCTCTACTAGAGTGTAGCTTGACTTCTAATTTTCTGTGTGTGGGGGGATCCCTGGGATTGAACCCAGGAATTCTCTACCACTGACCTACATTCCTAGCCCTTTTTATACTTTGTTTTGAGACAGGGTCTCACTAAGTTGCTGAGGCTGCCTTCAAACTTGTGATCCTCCCACCTCAGCCTCTTAAGGCATCATCATGGGGTCCAGCTTGATTTTAATTTTTTTTTAACAGTGTCTTTCAAACAGCAAAAGTTTAGGGGCCTGGTAAGGAGGTTCATGCCTGTAATCCCAACAGATCAGGAGGCTAAGGCAGGAGGATCTCAAATTTGAAGCCAGCTTCAGCAACTTAGCTAGGCCTTAAGCAAGTTAAACACCACCACATCTGTATTTATCTCTGACTAGAGACAATTTTGGGGTTTTGCTTCTTTGCATTGTCTATATGCATTGTCTATAACATTTACATGAGAATCACAATATTTTTTCTTTTTGGTCCATAATACATCTATTAGTTTATAAAATTCCCTTCTCCTCATAGTATTCTAAAACCCATCATCAGCTCCTTTATATAGCAGGAAAAGGAAAAGAACAAATGTTAATACTGGCGTTGGTGACAGGTATGGAGGAAAATATATTGTAAAGTCCATATTTGTTTATGTATGACTTTTAATTATTTTTAAATTTATGTTTGTGGTACTGGGGATCGAACCTAGAGTACCTTACCACTGAGCTACATCCCCAGCCCTGTTTTATTTTGTATTTTAAAAATATATTTCTTAAAATATATTGTTTTAGTTTTAGACGCACACAATACCTTTACTGTATTTATTTATGTGGTGTTGAGGATCGAACCCAGTGCCTCACACGTGCTAGGTGAGTGCTCTACCACTGAGCCACAGCCCCAACCCAAGATTTTTTTTTTTTTTTTTTTTTTTTTAAGATGGACACAACACCTTTACTTTATTTTTATGTGGTGTGGAGGATCAAACCCAGTGCCTCACATGTGCGAGGCAAGCGCTCTGCCACTGAGCTACAACCCCAGCCCTTATTTTGTATTTTAAGACAGGTGTACTAAATAACCAGGGTTGCCCTTGAACTTGCGATCCTCCGGTCTCAGCCTCCTGAGTTGCCGAGGTTACAGGTATGTTACCACCTCTCAACCGACTTTCATTTACACTTCCCTCTGCTATCACTTCCACTGAAAAGTGGAAGCTGAGTTAATGAAATTTTGGCAATGTGCAGTCTGTGACTGAGGATTAGATTTTCAAAAGTCTTCATCCTAAAAATGGGATTTCGTTTTTCTGGGAGACGCTTGAAAAGTCTTTGCTGTTAAGTGATGTGACAATTTAGAGCAGCTCGCATTTTATTAGAGTGGCTTCAGATTGAAGAGATCGTGTAGGCAAAAATATTTGATTGTGTAGGCAAACTCTTCAACCCCACGAGAATGTGTCTGATCGGGATTTTGTCACTTTACAGGCTCCAGACCGGGGGGCAATAGTTTGAAATTCCTCGATTACCTACTATCCCTTAGGTAAAGATAGCTCCTTCACTAAAGTGTTAGGGACAAGCCACAGGAACTACAGATTTAATATTTTCATCTGCATTCCAAAATGGACCGAGGAATCTTTGCCTCATAACTTTCTCCCGCCAGAAAGTTCAAATAAAGAGCGGTAAAAACCACACTTCCACTCCATTCTTTGGAGGCTACGCGCGAGATGATGGACAAAGATTTCTACCAATTGTATGAGGCGTCTTCACGCGTGGTCCCGCCTAGTAAATATGCAAAGTATCAGCCAATGAGAGCACCGCTGTTTCAACTAGCGGCGACCAATGGAAGAAGAAGGGAGAGTATTGGTTGCTGCCTAGGGCTGCTGTCCAATAGGAGCACGCCGGGCCCGCGGCTCAGGCGGGGCGCTTGAGCTGCTCGGGAAGCGGTGGTTCGTGCGGGAGCGTAGGTAGTTCTGCTGAGGTAACGACTGGGAAAGTCGCGGTCTCGGGAGCCGGACCGCGTCGTTCAGGCATCAGGTGAGGATGGTATTTGTTTTTCACCATGCCTTGGGCCTCTAACTTCGGGATAATTCGCCCCGGTGTGGTCGCGGGACCC